CTGTTCAGTGCCCTGAGATGACTTCTGTTGTGACTTGGCGCTATCTAAATAAACTGAACTGAATTGAATATTATAGGCAAACATTTATATTATAGACACTGCTGAGAAATATTTCCCAGCCTGTGTTTTAAAGCAGCACTTAATTTTAAAAATCTAAGACTTGTTGCACATGGCATGATGAGAAACTATACATTTCGTTTCCCTTTCAAAACTCAATTTGAACCATGCTGCTTCAGTCCTGCTGTTTTTACTCTCATAAGCCTTTTTGATGCAGACTTTATTGTAGTGTGTCTTGTATACTTCTAATCATACAAACAATGGATTCGGTCAGTAGTTAAATTGTTATTCTAGCTCAGGGTCTGCAACCTGCAGCTCTGCGGCCACATATGACTCTTTGATATTTTTGTTTTCAACCCACAGCAGAAAAGACTAGTTTGAATAATTTGCATGTCCATTTTCTGAAAATATGTGAATTATACCATTAATCCAAGCAGCAAAACCTGTTCACTAGATTTAATTTATCCAACTTCCAGCCTTATAGTGCAATATCGCATTCAAATCTACTCTTTAGAATACTTTCAGGACATGTTGCTTAGAAGAAATACAGTGAGTTCATTTGATAGCAATAAAAATTAGAAAGTAAAACATAATTTAGGTCAAAGTAAATAAACTTATTAGTTTTTCATTTTTTTTAAATCCATAAGTCACAACTACATATCCAGCAAAATGGCTTAATTTTAATGGACACTTAAAATTTCTTACTTCAAATAAGCTACTTCACAAGTTTTTTTTTTTTTTTTGTCCTACAATGTAAAAATATAAATAAATATTGAAATTCACAATATATTTTTAGTTTCATAACATCACCCCCACTGGCCCCAAAATCCCCACTCAAAAAAAAACTCGAACTGGCCCATGGGCCATCAGTTGATAATCACAGCTTTAGCAGCTGCAGAGACATTTTTTTTAGTGAGCCAAGAAGCAGAATTGGCTCTTTTGATGAAAAAGGTTGCAGACCTCTGTTCTAGTCTGTTTTCAAGGTTTGAATTAAAATTTTAGAGTGCAGTTTGTTTTCCCGTTTAAACAATTTGAATGTGCTTTTCATATATTTTTGATCTAGTGATAAATCACCAAGAGCCTTTTTATTTTTAGTAGTTCAAGGAATTGCTCACTTGTAATTCTGCATTTGTCAACCAATTTAGTGCTTGTCTTAAAAGAGCAACTTAAAGCTAGCGTTTTGTCATTTGCTCATCTCTTCTTCCTACCGTACACAGTTACAGTTTTCACAGCTGGCATTCAGAAAGTTGCTCCAGTTTTTCTCTACATCTTTGCTCCAAACAGGACTGGGCAGTGCACGCTTCTTTGAAGAGTCACACTAACATGTGAGATTTGCGGCCGCTGCTTGCAGTTGTCACATACTTGTGATAAGCAAGCTGCAGACAGTGAAGACTCCTTAAAAAGCTCTACACCAAAATAACCCTTATGTCAAGGAAAAAATGTCCTGTCAGATTTTTACCAGGTCCCATATTTATCACAGTGATTATAGTTTAAGAAGTTGTGGTTTCCCCACTTTAACGGTTTTGAGACTACACTTAAAATGTTATACACGTAGAAAATTAACCACTGAAGTAAAAGTCACATAGTGTTTGCTTGACCTTATGTAGTTTTCAACTCGTATTTCTGTTCTAAAATATCACAATTTAGTTCATGTTCTGAATTTGAAAAGTGTTTCCGCTGATGTGCGAAGTAAAGCCACTGCCATCAAGGAGCAAACAAGCGTAAAGATTTAATGTAATCTTTTTATTTGTACAAAACATTTAACAGTTTTTCCCAACTTAATGGCAGGCTTACGCTTGAAGATAAAAGTGAAAAACTTCAGGTAGACAGTATTAGTTGAAGTATTATTGTTTGTCTGCATCAGATACGCTAAAACACAAAGAAACTTAAAAGTAAAATAAACTAATTCACTTGAAACTACATGTGAAAATATGGAAGAAATGCATCTTATTGATTGTCTAAATTACTGAGAATGATGAACTAAATGAAAAAGAAGAAAGATGAGTAGGGCTACTGACGTGATAAAATACATTTTCCTAAATGAATCACGGTTTAGGAATCTCACCCCCTGATGTGGAGCATCTCCAGGTTTTTGGTCTTGTGAATCAGGTTTGTGGTCCTGCTGATGTTTCAGTCACTGCTGCAGAAATGGATTTCTGTGCCGAGCATCCTGTGACATACACTAAAAGGTCTGAGCTTCATTGGAAAGTAGAATCTACTCTATAGCTTACTCACACTGGCAGTGTTGGTATCAGTAGAATGAACTCGAATTGATGAGGCTAACACTTCTTTATGTTCCTTACATTAGAGAACTCCTTCTGGACTCCTCAAAGCTCAAGGACAGAGTCACTGTTCCACTGCCGAAGCTCACCCTCGGCCTGTGCTTCCCTGAAGCCGGGTCGCAGTCGTTGCCGTTGGTCTTGAGGCTGATTGATGAGGATGGACTGGAGCCTGAAGACCCATCGATGCTGTTAGACTTTTTCTTTGAAGCTATGCTATGTTTTAATGTAGCTTTAGCTGCCACTTTGAAAGCGTGAGCCGCTGTACTACACCGAACCTCCTCTATGGTGTTTCTGGACGGCTTGAAAAGGATGATGTACACCTTGTTGAAGAAAATGCAGGCCAGCAATCCAAAGCTGGATGCCAGTATAGCAATGACCTCCACAGCTGAGACAAACTTGCCATAAGTACTGAAGTATGCAGGGATGAACGAGATCCAAACAATAAAGAATATAAGCATGCTAAATGTGATGAACTTGGCTTCTGTGAAGTTCTCTGGAAGATTCCGTGACTTAAACGCAAAGAAGAAACATATAGCTGCCAAGAGGCAAGTATAGCCAATGAGAAAGCCAAGAGCCATCACAGATCCTTCGTTACATGTGATAAAGATGATCTCATCGATGTCATAGTTCCTGTAGCTCGAAGGAGGGGCATTGTAAAGCCACACCACACAGATCATGACTTGGACAAACGTGCACAAGAACACCAAAAGAAACTGCAGATTTAATCCCCACCATTTACGATGGAGACTTGTTGGAATCTTTGCCTCAAACACCAAAAGCACTCTGTTCGTTTTCACAAGGATGCAGGAAATACAGAGGACAAAGCTAATCCCAAAGGCGGGTTGACGTAAACGGCACATCCAGTCCCGCGGCTCTCCGATGAAAATTAAAGAGCTTGAGAAGCAGCAAATAAGTGAGAAAAGGAGGACGTAGGACAGTTCTCGGTTTGTGGCCTTCACTATTGGAGTGTTGCGAAATCTGACAAAGACTCCCATCACAAAGGCTGTTAGGACAACACCGAGGACAGCACATAAGGCCAAAGCTATTCCAAAGGGCTCAGTCCAGGAAAGAAACTCAATTTCTTTCAGAAAACAGAATGTGTGGTTCCCATTTGACCAGGAGGTATTTGGGCATTTTGTGCAAATGCTTGCGTCTGTAGAAAACCAGAAACATTATCAGTGTTAAACAGCAACATTGACAGGGGCTAATCTTGAGTAATTTTCATCTCTTTACCTTTATAATTACTATACTCTCCATCTGAGCACTCGGTACACTCAAAGCAGCATGTGGGCATGCTGTCAATGATCCCCTTTCTCGTGCCAGGCTCACATTCCTCACTGCAGTTAGAGAATGGCACCTGTACAGTATAGAACAGACAGAAGTTGGATAAAAAGGGCAGAAAATACAAGAAGTCTAAAATGTTCACTAAAAACAGCCCGTTGCGTTTTCAAGTGTTTGACCGATTCAGTGATGGGTGTCAGTATTTGTAGTTTTGGTTTTTGTAATTCCGGCATGGTCCGGTTTCCAGTGTCAGGGTATATAACATGGTTTTAAAAATTTACACTTTAAAAACAAAATTTCTCCTTCACTCTATTTCTATCTCTAATACACTGAAGGAAAACTATACCCTAGCCCCTTAAAATGAACTATATATTATTTTTCTTTTGGCTGTTCTCTCTTCAGGGTCTCCATAGCGAGTCATCCTTCTCCATCTCACTCTGTCCTCTGCATCCTCTGTCCTCACTCCAACTACCTCCATGTCCTCTCTAACTGCATCCATATATCTCCTCTTTGTCTCTTTCCTGGAAGCTGCATTTTTACCATCCTTCTACCAATATACCCACTGTCCCTCCTCTGGACATGTCCAAACCATCTCCGTCTGGCTTCTCTAACTTTATCTCCCAGTCCAACAACTTGTGCTGTATCTCTGATGATCTCATTCCTAACATTCTCCATCCTTGTCACTCCCAAGGAGAACCTCAACATCTTTAACTGAGACACTCCAGTTCTTTCTCCTATATTTTTGACAATGTCACTGTATCCAGACCATACAATATAGCTGATCTCACCACCATCTTGTAAATGATACTCTGTAAAATGTACTGTGCATGATCTCTTTTTCATTGTTATAGCTCAAATGTACAAAATATTATTGGCACACTACTTTAAAACTACCCCCTCAGTGTCAAGTAGAGCATTTAACAGTGTTTAATCCACCAGGAACAAGTATAAGAACAAATTATAGACATTTGGTTTGTATCCTGTAATGTAACAATGAAGCTGAATGTCAAGAAGCATTAACTTTTCCAGAAAACTTTAACTGACCTCTGATCTTTGTCCATTCCAGAGAATCTTTGTTTTGTCAATGGACAGTTTGGCTCCTCTCTTGGCATGCATGCTGTAAAATCCAACCTCCTCAAAGACCACAGAGCCATCCTCTGTAGATCTGTGCCAGTTAATGATGGTATAGTTTGCCGCCAGGTCTGCATTCTCATCAAAGTGCATCTTTTCACCCATACTGTTGGTGTAGTTCAAATGTCTGAGCTGCTTCAGCACCTAGGATGCAGAACAACATTTCTGATTCACACGCCAGTATAGAAAGTTGTTAGTTGCTTCAGTCATCTACACAAGATTTTACCTGCCACGCTTCAATGCTCTTGATATCTGCACAGGAATTGTTAGCAAAAAGCCCATGTCCAGGAGTGCAGGTGAGTATGTCCTGCAGAGCCTGAGCGATTGAACAAACTGCTACATAGGCATTGTAGGAGATTCTGAGATGTTTGTAGTCCAGGTATTGGGTCTCAACACTTGTGATATCCTCCCCACCAGTACACAAAGGCCTGAACGTAGTACTGCCATTCTCACTTTCTCGAAGTCTTGGACTGCCTTCCAGATAGCAGTTGAAGGTTTCTTCCCAAAACTCTCTGACAAACTCATTATGACTGTCCTTCTTTGGTTGGACATGTTGTAAGAACTCTCTAAAGCCGGGTATATGCCCTCCCCTTAAGGCAAAACCAATGGTTCCTGCAACAACATCTAAATATTCTGGTTTAGCAATAAGAGAGGAGCTTGCCCAAGCTTCACTGGCAAGCCAAATGCGATCTGTGACGTTTCTCCTGACCATCTCTTTGATTAGCGGCTCAACATCTGGGCCACTGGCAAAAACAACTATCACTTTAGCTGAGGAGTTCTCAATTCTGTCAGCAAGAGCTTTGATCTCATGATCCTCAAAGTACTGAGAAATAAGTTCATTCAGGTGGATGCAGATGTCTCGCTCTTCCATTTCATTTTCAAACTTTTCAATTCCTGGGCGTCCGTAGTCATCATCTGAGGCAACAGCAATAACCCAGTTCCACTGGAAGTACTCAATGATGTCTGCCATGGCTGTGGCCTGGTATTCATCTGTGGGGATGGTTCTCATGAAGGATTTGTACTGATTCTTATTGCTCAGGAGACGGCTGGAGGAGGCATAGCTGATCTAAAACGAGAACATTTTCAGACAATAATTCATATCGTGTCTGTCTTGTTGTATATTTTGGTCCAAAGGGGTAATGTAATGATGATGTGTTGCTGGCAAGGTGTACAAATACCAACCTGAGGAATATAAAAGAGACCCAGCAAGTTTGCAACTGCTGTAGAGACTGCAGATCCAGCAGCTCCGACAACTGCAATGGTCGATGGAATGTGATCAGTGCAGTTACAAAACTCATCTAAATTCAGGGAGTCGATCTTGTTCTGGGCAACAAAGCTAAGGGTTGCTTCCAAAGCCTTTGACACAGTGTTGCATGTGTCAAAAATCCTGTAGCCCAAAGTGATGTTGGGCAGTAATGTGCTGCTGTTGTTAATCTCGTCAATTGCAAAAATCATAGCTTGGAGCCATCGAAACCCACGGAAATTGAACCTGTAAAACATTAAGAAAAACAAGTGTTAAAATAAATTATGGTAAACTAAGTAGCCCAGACTGAAGATGAAATTTGTAAAAGTTACATTTCTTCACAATACAAAAACATAATGTATGAATAAAGATTCAGACTATAAAAAAAACCAATGTTTTATGTTTTCACTACGGTAGAGTCGGGTCCTCTGGACGGATTTTTTTTTCTTGTTTTGTTCAAACTTTTCAGTCAGTCAGACTTCTTCAATCAGACTGAAGAAGTCTTTTGAATAAAAGATGAAACGTTTTAACAAAGAAGAATCTGTCCAGAGGACCTGACTCGACCTTGTTAGAGTCATCGACTTGGATTATTGAGCATGCATCAGGACACTTTTCTTTTCCTATTTTACATTTATAACCGTGGTCAAAAACAAGTAATAGAAAAAATGAACCAAAAGAGCTTCAAAAAGAAAGCTTGAATGGATATCACTTGAACAAACATTCTCAAAGTAGAATGGTACAAATGGCATCAATTTGGTCTTAAATGGTAATATACAAATGCATTTTAATAAATAGATGTACCAGCTAGCTGTAGCACAACATTTGTCCAGAAGGAGTTGTGTACTGCAAGACATAACATCATTGTAAAAGCTTGTTTAAAATAAAGTGTTTGCATGAACCACTATGGTATTTTGAAAGTGGAGTTATTTTAAAACTACTCTCACTCACTGTTAGCTCCTTTCATTAGAATTAAACTATTTCTATGAACAGAGGTAATTCAAAGAGCAAGTCTTAAATCAAAAGTCTAATATCATTTGTTTTGCGGTTGTTAAAATCTTACCGGACACATTGTGTGGATTCTGGCCGAGCTGCCAGGTCTTGATCTTTGGATGCAACACCAAAGTGAATGGGGAAAAGACCTCCGAGTAAAATGTCTCCAGTCTTTTGTGCTCTCTGATGGGGCCCGTAAGTCGAAGTCACAAAACTGGACCCAAGCACTATCACGTAGTACAGGTACAGTCTCATCTTCCTGGTATTTGATTCGATTGCTCTTTGTGATGGGTCAGAAAGTAGTAAAATTTTATTTGTTTCGCCTTTCAGTCTGCCGGTCGCACAGCGTTGTTCTGTTCATGTTTGCATGAATGTGAATGGGCACCTGTTGGAAAAAAAGAAGAAAGACAAAACATGTTTGTGGGCCTTTTTTTTTTAAACGTATGCGTTAAAATAATAAAACCAGTATACATGTATGATGACATCACTTGCTGAGCTCACTTTTCCACACAAACAGGAACAAAACCAAGACAAAATGTCCTAAACGTGCAGAACTACTGAACCACATCTGCAATAGCGTGCGTTTTTTGTCCCCGTCAACTGACCTTTAAGAAATTGTTCTAAAAGAAAAAGCTAATTTAAAATTTTTACACCTTAACAGGAGCAGCATCCCGCTCAGAATCTTTTGACCTGAAAAAGATGCAAGATTTCTATGAGCTGAGAGCGAAGTCACACTCTGCCGACCCACCTCCGTGCAGAATCTCAGTCTAATGTCGTGGCCAGTGAACTGCAGTCACCATGGAGAAAAACCTGGCTAATACTACTGGAAAAATGCTGGAGCAGAGTGGTAATAATGAAGTCATAGCCACCCCTGACAGTTTGTTAGAGAATAAAAGCTTTTTTGTATTAAATAAAATTTTCCTCATTGTCTAAAAAGAACTCCTTTCCGAGTGTTAACACTGTCCTAAAAGAGTCAATTTAAACACAGAAACAACTTTACTGGCATTTTTTTTTTTCTACTGAAAAGGGCATTCCAATGAAATACCATTAATGTTTCTTGGTAAAGTTGAATTACAAACTTCTACATATGACAAAGAACTTAGTACTTATAGATACATTAAACGTAAATTTATATTCATGACTTCCAGTTAAAAACTTAAAAAATAATCATGGATTGTAGAGTAAGACTTACCACTTGGACGTCTAACTTCTAAATACACCTAAACAATATCTGTAGCTTTTGATTGATTTTATTAACTCTTCCCCAGATTTCCTGGGTGCTGAGTGAATTCAACAGACGATGCTGTCGTCTAAAACTCTCTCTACAGATGAATCATTAACAGAGAGAGGGATTGGTCATTTCCTTTAGTTAATGAAGTCGGCTACCAGATCACCCCACAGTGCTCTTGTCAATTTATTTAAAGTCAGTAGATCTTAAGTTATTTAAATTTGCTTTCATACTCATAATTTCATATAAAATAAGCAACACCTCCTCCGTCACTGAGGGGTTTGAATAGTGAATGTTCATTGAGATGAGTGTATTTAAGGACTTGGATTGAACAGGGAATGCAAGTAAACCTAAATGTTTTGAGTGCAAGTTATTAAAGTGGGTAGGAGTTACACTGTAAAGGAACAGAGGGAGGTTTTTATGTTTTGCTTGTCCAAGGCAGTGCAGAGTGACGGATCCTGGAGTGTGGAGGGAGCATTTTTATCCAGCAGCAGGTGCAATGAAGGAGCCAGGGGGTGGCCAATGGTGGTATTGGCCCCATATATTGATCTATGGCCACCCCAAGGGCCACCCCAATCATCTGAGGAAACTTATTTTAGATTTTTTTTGTTTTAAGTTTTCCAGCTCACAAGGTTTGCATATATGGTGGCAACGTAGCAACCCAATTTTGGAAAGGAATCTTGCTTATACCTATAGATGTATAGACACAGCGATACACTATGGAAATCGATACCTCACTTTTTTTTAAGTCATCATGTTCACATAGACGGATGAGCCAAAAGTATTTCCAATTGCCCCACTTTTATCTGCAAGGGAAAACACCAAAAGTAGAATCCTTTAATAAATGAAGCATGTCACCTACGATGGAAAATATATTATCTCTGCCTCTACGTTTATTCTTAATATTTTATAATCTTTCATTTGATCCTGTGTCATGATTTCAGTATTTTAATCTCTAGTGTGACTCTGTGTACAGGGGTCACAGCGTTGTGGCAGAGTTCATGAAACATGTTTATTCCCACTTTGTTAAGAAATTGTACTGTGATTGTATGACGGTCTCTTCTTCCAGCAGTACAGAATAGAGCTGCAATTTCTAACCCAAGTCCGGGCCAGGTTGGGCTGAAATTGTCATAAGACGAGGAACCCAGAGTGGACCAGACAAGACAAGATCCAGTTAGAAAAAGGTAAAAGTGTTTATTATATACAGTGCACTATTTACAGGTGGTCATCTCTTGGGGATCCTGAGGAAGAGAGTTGGAGCAGTAAGGTCCACTTGCAGGGTAGGACACAGTTGATAATTGGTTGTCTTTTCTTACAGGTGGAGGCGCAGATGTTTGGCGTGGACATGATCCACCAGAAAACCCCTGAGATGAGAGGCCAGGTAGGACAGGCGTGTGGCTGGAAGGCGAGGCACAGAGGACAAGAGCCAGAGTCACAGGGATACCAGGATCAAACAGGAGTCAAGGAGACAGGATGACCGCGGGCACAAGAACAACGGTAAGTACTTCTCGTTTGTAAGCCGATATACAGACCACAAGCATAAATACTGAAATGGGTACAATGCTCCAGAGATGAGTCATACTGGACTGCAGCCTTAAATAGTAGAAGGACCTCGTCAGGTGGATGGCCAACAGCTGGTGGCAGTCAGTGGCCATCTTGAAGGCGGAGCTGCAGACTGTGGAACTCTCACAGAAATGATGTGCTTGATGGGCGGGCAGGGTCGGTCTCGGGCTTTTGATGCAGTTTTACGTATCATACAACACAAAGAAAACTAAATAAGAATGCACAATATGAAATTGTGTTAATCAACTTGTTGAGGAGTTTGTATGTTGAGGATGAGAAAGAGATAAAATAGAGTGCAGAAGTTAATCAGACTGTGAAAAGAGAGCGTAGCACTGGTGCATTGCACAACAATTGCACATGTGGCCCCGCCCACCCTGCTTTTATTACACATCTGAGGATTTGCAATTGACCCACAACAAGCAACCTAATGGAGCTGGAAAATATTTAACAAAAGCTAAAAACGGGAGAACTCACTCTACAAAACCAGCACAGTGAAGCCTGCTGATGTGTCAGGTCAGGTGCACGCTCAGGTCCGACCGGCCGGTTGAAAGATGTAAAAAAAGTCTTAAGCTTAAGATGGACAACTGGATCACTGGTCCCGCGCGTCTTGCTCCGCACCCTGCTATCATCTGCGGTGAAGGAAGTTGCAGCATCTGAAGCTACAAAAGCCGAAGCGAGCAGCGTGTTCAATTAAAATAGCTTTGTTCTCTATTTTTCCAAATAATTTCGCTTTAAATATATTTTTGTTCATCTGTATAATAGCCTGTCTTTAGAGTAGGTTTTTTAGGCTATTCGTTTTGTATGTTAATATTCATTCGGTGACTTGTTAATAAACAAGAAATCTTATATTTTCCTTTTCTTGGAAATATGTTTTTAAAATATCATGTTAAACTGATTTGCTTAAAAAGGCAGTAAAAGCTTAATACATTTTTTTTTTTTTTTTCGGGTTAGGCCCTGTAATTACAATTAATTGGTCTGGTTGGGTTGGACTCAGAAAATATGGATATGGGCTGGAGCCGGGTCGGGTAGGACGTTTTAGGCCCAAATGCAACTCTAGTAAAGAAGGACATCTGACCACACTGGTCTGAACCAGTCTGCGGCTGCTGGTACAAGCAGGATGGTGAGGGTGTCACTTCTGGGACTCCAGATAACCTCTGATGGTTAGAGCTCTTGGGATGTTCCGGCTCAGGGCACGCTCTGAGTTTTTGCATCCGACTGTCTCGAATGTTGTTCAAGCCGACAATAACTTTTAGCAAAAACTAAATTCCCTGAAGTCTACGCCTGGTTGTTTTGTGAATTATCATTTTTTTCCTACATTACCTTCTGCCTTTCATCCTAAAGTGTAAAACAAAGACCATGTATAACCTTTTGGCTCTCAGACGGATGACTCCCAACAAATACAATACCAATTTTTTCCTCATTTTCTGTAAAACTGACTGAAAGCAATTGTTATGTTTGCTAAATTTGATTAACTGTAACAGCTATCTTGAATTGAATTTACTCCTAAAGTTGTACATGTACATCCAATGGTGCTTTCTGAGTTTCATTTAAAATCGTCCAGTGATCAGTGTAATATTTTACTAATTGACTGACAAATGAGAACACAAACATTAACACTCACCTGCTCTGAAGAAAGAAGATAATAACTGTCAACCTTATGTCATAAATTTACCATAATATAACATATGTCTGCTATTCAAAAAAAGTATAAACTGAATCCCATCAATACATGAAAAAGTAATTTTGGTGGAAGGTTTTTCATTACAAGGAGGTTTTTATTCAGATTTAACTGCAATAAGTGCAAATAATGCAGTAGAAACCCCTCGCGATGGACTGTACCATCATGTTCTCCAAACAACGAGCTGCATTCTTACGCTCCAATAAACCAGTCTTCACTTTGTTGCTGAGCAGATGTCTCAACTAAAATATTTCACTTTTACAACATGTTGACTCATTTGTGTCCCAGCTCAGTGTCCAAGAGGCACAAAACGGTTTCAGAAGATTAGAAATAACCTTTATTGCAGGCAAGTGTCTAAAATTTGTATATATAAAAAATAATTAAAAAAATTACAAATGATTCACATGTTGATAAAAATTTTCATATCTTTCCAATTTTGTGTATAATTTTAGTGAAAGTGACTTGTTACAGCATAAATTACATTAAAATAGTAGTTTGCACAGCTCTGCTTTGTTGTCATTCAATATGACAAAAGTACTCATGATTTATAACAATAATTTATTTATAAGAATTTTTTCTTCTTTCTTCACCCTTTTCATTCACTGTTTTGCTTTTTGATTAATTTGTTGTTGTTTTTTTTTAAATGAATGACTAAATGAATAAATTAATTAATTAATAATAATAAAAAAAATACAATGGTTCTGTTCAAATGCCAATCATTTTATTAGGGTGGCACAGTGGTGCAGTTGGTAGAGCTGTGTCCTCTCAGCCAGGGTGCAGAGCTGCATCCTTACCTGGGATCTTTCTGGGTGGAGGAGGAAACCAAACCATGCATGTGTGAATGATTGTCTGGTTTGTCTCTGTGTCCCTATGATGGGCTGGAGACCTGTCCAAGGCATCCTCTGCCTTTTGCACAGTGACTGTTGGGTGTAGTCACCAGCTCCCCACGACCTGTAAAGGATAAGCAGGTAATAAAGATAATGAATATATCAATAGTTTTATTATAAAAGCATGAATTATAAATAAATATTAGTGTATTAACTTCTACACAAGCTGTCTGTCAGACAGTAGCAACAATTTTAGGTAACCCTGCAAAACAGTTGGAAAAAATACATGCTAAAGCTAACCAAGAAAGTAAATGACAGTGTCATCTGCATAGAGAAGCATGTATGATTTCTTGCATATGCACTGTTTTTAATTTGTTTTTCATCTAGGACCCACCCTCTTTACAATCTACATAGGTAATGTAGGTCAGACCAACCTTGATACGTCCTTACATTTCTATGCTGATGACACAGTTGTTTATTGTCGAGATAAAACAGTTGCTAAGGTTTTCCAGCTTTTACAGTCTGCTTTTGACATCATCCAGTCAGATTTGTTCCATCTCAAATTTGTCCTCAACACCGACAAAACCAAAGGGATGTTGTTTTCAAACAGGAAGTCAGTCCCAGCAGTTCTTCCCACAATTTTATCTTTGAATGGTGCCCCTATTGAGTTTGTTGGTTCCTACAAATATTTGGGTATATTGGTCAATTTCCATCTCTCTTTTAAGCCCCATTTGGAAAACTTAGAAAGGAAACTGAAAATTAAACTGGGTTTCTTTTTCAGAAACTGATCCTGCCTAACTCTGAATCCTAGGAAACACCTTGTAACTGTGACTTTCCTTCCCTCCTTTGACTACAGTGACATTGTTTACATGAACGCTCCTACAAGAACCCTGCAGATGTTGGATGCTGTCTATCATGGTGCACTAAGATTCATAACTGGCTGTGATTATCGTACCCACCACTGCACCCTGTATTCACTGGTTAACTGGACATCATTAACTTCACGCAGACTCTCTCACTGGTACATTTTCATCTTTAAATCACTTCTTGGTCTGCTGCCTTCATACATCTCCTCCTACATGTCACTGCATGAGTGCAGCTACAGCATGCGCTCTAAGGACATTATTACCTGCAGTGCTCCCTCAGTGCAGACTGAATTAGGCAAAAGGGTCTTCTCCTACTCTGCTCCTGTTTCCTGGAATATCTTGCAAAAAGAACTGAATCTCTTAACCTTGACCTCTTGAAGTGGCTTCAAACATCTTCTAAGTTCATGGCAACAACCAATGCAGATATGTTCCTTTTTTTAGTTTTCTACATCACCTTACAATGTAGCTGCTTGTGTTTTCATTTTTAATACCATTTTCTTTCTTCTTTTTTTTCCTCAATTTTTATGCTTTCATTTATGATTGTCTACTGTTGTCATCACGCTTTGTTAAAAGCAGGTCTCATTTGTAAACGAGTCCTTGAGGCTCAATGAGACTAACCTATATAAATAAAGGTTGAATTAATGGGGGGGGGGGGGGGGATCCCTTTCCAGTGGTGTCCTCAGATAAATCTTTCTGATCCTGTCTTTTCCAGGAAACATGAAAAATGGCACACCAGTTGGAAATTTAACAGTGTGTGTAAAAAACCGTTGGTCAGTGAAAAGTTAACAGTGAATGTGAGTTCATCCTCAGTCGCACACTCTGCAGCACTCAGCTGAAATGGTAAGACGGCTTTCTAATAGTAATGAATGTTAGCGTTATGTTTAGATAAGTTAGACACAAATGCTAAATAGAAGCTATAAAATAACCAACATCCTTTTTGGCAGCGGGGTGTTAACATTGGTAGCTATAATAGAAGTTATACTTTTGTCCGTCCTTAATTTTGTACCGTTACATTCGTTACAGTTAATAACAAACGATTGATTCAGCAGATGCCTGGTGCAAAAGTTCTGCTGTTCCTGCGGAGTTTGTCACGAAGGAAACCTCTGGAACCTGAAGATGAAGTGTCCAGCTTTCGGCGCTGCCTGACCACCCTGGACCTGGTAGCTCTGGGGGTTGGCAGCACCCTGGGGGCTGGTGTTTATGTGCTGTCGGGAGAGGTGGCCAGAACCGTGGCTGGTCCAAGTATAATTATCTCTTTTCTGATAGTGGCTGTAGCCTCCATCTTTGCAGGGCTGTGTTATGCTGAGTTCGGAGCTCGTGTTCCTAAAACTGGCTCTGCGTATCTCTACAGCTATGTGACTTTGGGGGAGATATGGGCTTTTATCACTGGCTGGAACCTGCTGCTTTCTTATGTCATAGGTAACAACATATGGGATGTATGCTTTTGAGAGTCAGTAAGATTCTATCCATTTTGTCTTGGTATTGCTTCTATCATTTCTATCTTTCATGCTATGCTTGTGGCTCCATCATTGTCAGTTTAATCTGATGCATGCTCCACCTTTTCCTGTGTTTTAAGGGACATCAAGTGTAGCCAGAGCTTGGAGTGGGACCTTTGATGACCTTTTGGGAAACGTTATTACCAACACTTTGGGTGAACACGCTGGGTTGGGCTTATCTGGATTAGCTCCTTACCCAGACTTCTTTGCAGCTGGCCTCATAATCCTTTTAGCAAGCAAGTTTAATAATTTTAGCCCTCTTAGATGTGACAACAATTAGTAAATGATTTTTCAATGTGTTTGTCTGCACCTTTGTTATCTTTTTCTTGTTCTTTTTAGGCATTCTTGCATTTGGTGTTAAAGAGTCGACTACAGTAAATAAGGTTTTTACAGCCGTGAACATCCTTGTGTTGCTGTTTGTTATCCTGACTGGTTTCGTAAAGGGGGATATAACCAACTGGTACATTGATGAAGACAACCTGCCAAATGGAGATGGGTACTGACCCCTGTTTCACTGCACTTGTGTTCCAGCAGCTGTGCTATTTAATCTGTCTTATTGACAGAGTGTCTGTTACTTTTCAGAAATTATACATACTTGAACGAAACCAACAAATATGGATTTGGGGGATTTTTTCCTTTTGGCTTCGAGGGAACATTAGCTGGAGCAGCCACCTGCTTTTATGCATTTGTTGGATTTGACTGCATTGCCACAACAGGTGAACAGATTGAACTGTTGGGATTTATTGCATGCTTTGATAAGATATTTGCAAAGAAAACAAATAAATGGTCAAATATGCGGAACAAGAAAACAGTGTTCACTCATCAGCCTGGTTGTATTTTTAGGAGAGGAGGTAAAGAACCCTCAGAAGTCAGTTCCACTCAGCATAGTGACATCCCTCCTCATATGCTTCCTGGCTTATTTTGGAGTGTCTTCTGCCTTGACGTTGATGATGCCGTACTATTTGCTCAGCGTTCACAGCCCACTGCCTGTGGCTTTCACATACATCGGTTGGGGCCCTGCAAAGTATGCAGTGGCTGTTGGATCCCTCTGTGCCCTTTCAACAAGGTACAAAATTCAGTGATTCATGAAGGAACGCAGTGTGATTTTGCACGCGAGGACAAATGTAATCTTAAAACAATATAAACATTAAATATTTTACCTGTTGCAGATAGTTACTACAACCTGTTTGGAGAAAAATAGATTGTGATTGGACTGATGAACTAATGGACAGTTTACATAGGGCTAACACCGTGTGGTAACACCACAGGAATACTGCTGTACACTGAAAACAAAGGTAAACTAGACAAATTGCATTTCCTGCTAAAATGCAGTGTGAATGCTTATTGCTAATGAACTTGCTGAAAAACAGCTTAAATTAGCTAAAAACATGGTGAAGTGTAGCTGAAAAGGAAGAACAAGTCTAAGTTAGCAGAAGAAGAAAGACAATTACTGAATTTGTTTCAAATAAGCAGAAATGAGCACAAAAAATAGTAAATTAGCTCTAAAAGCTGAAATTAGCAAAAAATAGATGAAAACGTAAAAAAAAAAAGCTTAAATTACTAGAAGAAATTGGAGAGAGCATTGTGTCCATTCGGCTGAAAGAAGCAGAAATGAGCACAGAAAAGTGGAAATTTACTGAAAAAGCTGAAAAGTAACTAAATAGCAGAATCTTAATGAGTGCAAAAACTGTGAAATTAGCTGAAAAAGCTAAAATGAGCATAAAACAGCAGTAGCTGAAATAGGTGAAATAAACATAATTAAGCTAAAAGTAATATAGCTGAAATTAATAGAAAGAAGCTAATTAGGCTAAAAGTAACAGAAATTGCCATGAAAAACATGAATGAATTTATCTGAAAACGGCTGAAATTAGCTAAAAAGTATGCTAATAGGCTAGCTGAAAAGCTAGAACAAGCTTCAATTAGCAGAAGAAATTATGAAGAACACATCATGATGCATGCTCAATAATCCAGGCAGAAAAATCTAAAAAAGTTAAGTCTGGTCCTCTGGACGTTCATGTAACACACACTTTGTTTTTTAAATGTCCAGAGGACCAGATTTAACTTTTAGATATGAAGAACACATGTTTGCCCAATTAGGCTGAAAGAAGCAGAAATGAGCACAAAAAGTGGAAATTATCTGAAAAAGGCTGAAATTAGCAAAAACAAATAAACAGACAAAAACAAAACAAAAAAACAACAGCTGAAAAGTAGCTAAAAAGACAGAAGAAGCTTAAATTACCAGAAAGAAGTGGAGAGAGCACATTTTTGCTGAATTAGGCTGAAGACTGTTAAAACAAGTGCAAAAATGTGGAATTAGCTGAAAAAGCTAAAACAAGCATAAAAACAGCTAGCAACAGTAGCTGGGCAGAAAAAGCTGAAACTTGCATAAATAAGCCAAAAGGAGCATAACAAGCTGAAATTAGCAGTAAGAAGTTAAAAGAAGCACAAAAATGTTGTAGTTAGCAGAAAGAATCTAAAAGGATCACAAAACAGCTAAAATGAGCTAAAAGTAGCTGAAGAAAAAGTTAAAATTTGCTAAATGAATAGCAATAGTGAGCATTCACACAATAATGACTGCTGAGGGACTCTTTGAGCTTCTCCCTGCAGTTTATTAGGGTCGATGTTCCCGATGCCCCGTGTTCTCTTTGCCATGGCCCGGGACGGACTTCTCTTCAGACCTCTCAGCAAAATGAGTGACAGACAAAGCCCAGTTATTGCCACACTAGCTTCAGGGTTTGTAGCAGGTATAACGCTGTACTGTACATCATATTGTAATACTCTGATTTTTTTTCATATATCAAAACTGATGTTGCCAACATTTAATTCTTTAAACAATTAGTTTCAAGTTGATGTAAAATTGTGTCGTTGCAGCCGTCATGGCCTTGTTGTTTGACCTGAAGGCGCTGGTTGACATGATGTCCATTGGAACCTTGTTTGCCTACACACTCGTTGCTATATGTATACTCATTTTAAGGTAAATATCTCTATTTATGCTGTGATAATTCATTAGTCTAATCTCAACTGGTGAAAATAACTTTTTATAGCTGATGATGATGTGATGGAAAAATATTCCCAAAAAGCAAAAACAGTTTAAGATAAATTGTGAAAATCATAACATTAAACAGAATATTTTTGTGTTTATTAACAACAACAGAAAACTGTTGCCACCATTTTTTTTTTTTTCATATTCACCTGATTAATATGAACATTCAGGTGAAATATTACAAAAAGTTAAAGATGCAGCTTTCCATAGAAAAGTGTCCAAACTTTTTAATATGCTGCCAAATTATCAAAAGTAAAGTACAAGAGTGCAACAAAAATTGTATTTCGGGATTTAAATAAAGTATATGTTTTTGTTGTGATTTTTAAAAACTCAACAACAGTGTGGACGATGTTTTGGAGAAAGGGGCAAAAGTATATAAACTTTAGGAAAAAAAGATTATTTAAATTGTTGTAGATCCAAAACTTAAAAAGCAAAAGTTCACTTTTTTATTTTTATTTTTAAAGGTCTTTGTTCCTTTGATTTATTGGGTCTATTGTTTTTCTTTTTTCTTGTGCTTGGAAAATACATTTTAGTTTATTATTTTAAAAAAGGAGTAAAATGAGTCCAATTTATCTCTACCTATGATTAAATCAACTACAGTTGTTTTCTTTGAAAACATTTGTTATATTTAGCCAAGTTTTATGAATGATTGTATGAATGTCTACTTTTTAGAAAATGTAAGTAAAGATTTTGAATCCTGGCTGGGGGGCCTTTCTGGGTGGAGTTTGCATGTTCTCTCCGTGCATGCGTGGCTTTTCTCCGGGTACTCTGATTTCCTCCCATAGATCAAAAACATGCATGTTAGGCTGATTGGTAACTCTAAATTGTCTCTAGGTGTGAGTGAGAGAGTGAATGGTTGTTTGTCTCGTTTGTCTCCATATGGCCCTGTGATGAATGGATGGATGGATGGATGGATGGATGGATGGATAAGTATAGCCAAAGGTTAGTATTGTATGTAATATTGAACATTAAAAAAATGTTCAAACCTCTTTTTCTGGCAAACCTATGAATTATAAATATAAAATAAATTTTATATATACATACAGAGAGTGGTGAAGGCTGCACAGACGTCTGCTGAAGCCAGCCTCCCCACCATCACATACACCTTCACCTTCAGATGCAGGAAGAGAGCCACCTGCGTCATGAAGGACCCCACTCACCCAGCACACACACTTTTTGCCCCACTCCCCTCAGGCAGGAGGTTGAGGAGCATTAAGTGTAAAACCACTAGACTGAAGAACAGCTTCTACCCTGAAGCTGTTAGACTCATGAATTACTGATCAGGATAATCACTGAAAAAATCACTGTAATGCCACTCGATTGTTGATATGTGCTGCTGATTATCCATGCTGCTGATCTCATGCTGCTGATTCATTTCATGCCGTATTCATTTTTACTCATCTGCTCACACAGACTCATGTTCGTGCTGCTGTTTGGACACCACTGCCTTAGAGGAATGCATGTCACCTGCTGTTTTTCATGCCAGAGTTTTAGACAAAGATTATTTTATGTTGAGAATAAAAGCATCAATTTAGTGAGAGCTCACATTACACATTAGTTCGTGAAGTACAGTATGTGCGGAGGATCACTCTCAGCTGTTATGAAAAAGTTTTAGCTCATTATCTGTAAAACTATCCAAATAGTCATTTTTAGATTTAGAGACAATTATTACTTTCTGAAAGTTTCAATTAAATTTGCCCAGTAGTTTATGAAATATTTTGCTAACACTACAGACAAATGAGCACACAAACAGGCTAAACCATTCTCTTTAGCGGTGGATGATAATAATCAACGTCTAAACTTTGTATTTAACTGTTAATCACAATGAAATCTATACAATGCATAAAATAAGAACCTTATAATTATATGTTTTATTCACACAGCTCTATCTGTACAGGTATGAAGCTGACCTGAGCGAAGGATCAAGTTTAGCAGAGCCCTTCTCAATAGGTGGTTTAATGTGTCCTCCCTCTCAGGCAACTCCACGCACAGCAGCAAATGTGTCTTTACTAACTGTTTCTCTTGGTAAGTAATCCTCACACTGTCCCCCAAAATTATTTACTATAGAGATCTGTTTTACTGGTTGCTGAAAATGACCACTTTGGTTCTTCACCAGTCGTTTTAGCTCTCACTCTCAGCCTCTTCATATCAGAGACTGATGCTTTTCTGCAAGTCCTTCAATGGTGGAGTTTACTTGGTCTCTCTGTGGTCGCGCTGATGATGCTTTTCACCATCCTGATCATCTGCAGACAGCCACAAAGTACAGCCAAAGCTGCTTTCATGGTACACCTCTAGTGTAATTCATGTTTAATGGCATGCTTATCCCTCTTTATGAAAGTGTTAGCTATGAAACTGTCTAATAGCTTCTTAATGTGTTTGTCAACAGGTTCCTTTTGTGCCTTATCTTCCTATGTTTAGCACCTTTGTTAATGTTTATCTCATGGTTCAACTTGGATCAGACACATGGCTCCGCTATGCAGTGTGGACGGCAGTAGGTATGAGATGAATAGCACAATTTTGTTAGGAAGTGAGACATTTTGAACAATGTGAATAATGCCATTTGTATGTTATTTATATATTTTTTAAATAGGTTTAATGATCTACTTTTGTTATGGAGTTCACCACAGTGTGCAGAAACAAAGACTTGAGAATTCACAGAACATCCCCTCTTCCCTGATATGAACTTTGAACCTGGATTGGATTTTAACAGAGAAACTGTGCAACCGGATTGATTCACTGTTGTAAAAATCAAATGTTCATTTAATAAACTTGCTGACAGTGTGCAAAGGTGTCCTAATTTGTTTGAGGGGTTTGCAAAGTTTTTTTTTTTTTTTTACTGTAGAAGTTTATGTCCTAAAATATGTTTAATTTACAACCACAAAGGGAAACATATTTAAAAAATGACATCATCCGTCTATGAGGTTTTATATTGTAATTATCATTGAAATGCATCCCTTTACTACATCGGGAATGTAATATACGGCAAGAAAACAACCTTCCAGGTTATTTTTATCACCAGGATTTGGTTTGAAAGTCAAAAGATAGTCTGTACGTTAGTACAAAATAATATGCCAGAATACAAAAAAGAAAAGTTTATTTCAATTCCTTTAATTGTATTTTTGTGAAATACTGCTACTATTGATAAATAGAATTGTTTCCCAATTTCCATTAATACAGTAAATGCTTTTGACAGGGATTTGGTAAGAAATATAGTTTAATATGCACTCGTACACCACGCATAGCAGCCATCATACATGCATGCTGTCTGACTGCACACCAGCTTTTTTTCCCCCTTTCTTAAAAAAGATTGAAAAATAAATTTTAAAAATAGTTTTTTTCTCAGTTGCTTTGGTGCATTTCTCACATCACTATTAACATTTGCACAAAAGTTAGCGCATTTCTCAAAACAGTTACTACAAACTGCAGAACCTAGTTGATTACCTGCAAAAGTGTGTCACTTGCTCAAAATGGATAGTTAATTCCTCAAGCGTCAGTGTCCTCAACATGAAAAGTCCTGACACCAGTGTTTATGATGTACAATACGTTGTTCAAAATACACGATGTTACACAGGAAAAGTTGTCCTAGTTTTTCTTGGGATAAAGCATGCACTGGAGCTGGAGGTAAGGGAACTGCTGCACACATTCATATACGTTGATAAGGCAGGTTTCAATCTGGCAAAAGGTAGAAGGTGTGGAAGATATCACATTGGACAGAGAGCAATCATTGATGTTCCCAGCCAATGAGAAGGGTATACTGTATTACAATGTGCGCAGCCATGTCAGAAAATGATGTCCTCACCCATACCCCGCCTTGGTCCATACCAAGCATCTGCTGACTTTTTAAACACTTTTTACCGGGACATCCTGAAAGTGAGAGGGTTCTAAATGGAGACCATCTGAGCACAAACGTTTCACTTGTAATGGTGACGGAACGCCTTCAATATGTTGCTGTTCTATTCAAATGACACACTGTACAATATCATGCACATTTCATTTTTCCTGAGCACTCTGCCAATTGTAGCAATTGAAATGGATTCAATATTCCCAAAGTTATTGTCATCCTCTATAACAGCGCTTTGTATATCTCTTACCTTATGACAGTGTTTGCAATCACCACTGCACAAATGGATTCCCCTGGTTGCAGAGTAAAATGTGGCACTCTTCCACCTCTGCGATGTTGTCTTGCAATCCTGTATGTTGTGCAGAGTAAAATTACAGTAAAGTACAGCACACATGAGATATAGCTTTCTGCTTTAACCCATATTTGTTGTGTAGAAAAACAGTGCACTGCTTCCCACTTGTAAAATGCTGCAGTACATTCTGTTTGTAGCTTCTTCATTTGTCTGCTCCCTATAGGGGTCGCCACAGCAAACTAACTCACACGAAGTTTAGTAATTGTTTTTACTCCAAATGTATGGCGCCATATAAATGCCCTTCCTGACTCCGTCTCCACCACAGACCACTGAACTGCCACAGCCATCTGTGTGTGGAGCAGGGAGCTGCAATCTGGGGCGCCCGCCGGGGTGGATCATGGTGGGGGTTGCCTAGGATGGGGCAGATGATGGTGAAGGCAGGTGTGGGTGCTTCAACTTTCACACCCATTTTGATGTTGTCAGTCTGGGGAGTCAAGCCGCAGACCTTCCCATCACAGGCCCGCCTTCTCTAGCCTCTGTGCCACCACTCCCCCATTGCAGTACAGTTCCATTCTCTAAATATGGCAAATCGTTACTGTAACACAGTTAATCTGTGCTGCAGTAAAGCTTGGGTTCATAGGATTCAACTCAGACTGATGGTGGAGAAGTGGCTTATTACTGATTACAACTAATGCTTCACACCACAGGCTTCACGCGCCTCATCATCAGCGCAAGCGCAATTTCCCCGAGAGAAATTGTTCAATTTAGGAGACATTTTCAGCATAAAATTAAAAAAGAAATTCATAAAATTTGGTTGACAGATTTTGACAACTAGTTCATTTACATTTTTGCATGCAATGACTCAAGCAATGAAACGAGGACTAAATGACTATTCAGCAAATAAAACAGCAGAGAATTGTAAGGAAGCAATTGATGCATGTCCAAAAGCATTTGCAATTTGTTGGAACGAGTGAGAAACTGTTACTATGATGTGCACAAATGACTAAATGTTGTGGATGAGAATTAAAAATAATAATAATAATAATTTTGATCAAAGAAATGCACTAAAGCCATTGAGAAAAACTGTAAAACAGGAACAGGAACTTATGAAAATCGGTCTCTGTTTCAGTAGGCACAGTTTTCACAGCACACAGAGTTAGACCGAAACAACCAATCAGGTGACGGTATGGTCTGAGTTTTAGCCAATCAGCGATTAGCTCAGCGGGGCAGCGCATTGTTCGAAATCTAAACGGTTGTTATCGTCAGTCAGCTGCCTGGAGCTCATCGAGCGTAGCTTGTTCTGCTGCAGCTCTAAAACTTTAATTTCGATTTAAACCTAGCTTAGATGCTTTAATCTTTAATACACCGAGGACATTTGGTGGACTAATTCACTGGAATCGAGCCACTCGCTTTACTTTCCAAATATTAGCAGATTTCTGCTTGGTGAGTTAATTTTAATTTATTCATCACGCCAAAGCTATAGTTATAAATTTGAATATAATTTTCTTTTACAAACCTACAACTTAACTCGGCAGTTTTTTTGCATTGTTTACTTAGAAAGGGTGACTAAAATATTTTAGAAAAATGAAGTAGTACACGACTACGACGCTAACCTGTTAGCTTTTGTGTCTTCTAAAACTTTCAGAATAAACTGTTACATTAATCAACTAAAATATTGTGGACCATGTGTTGGCTTTAATTCTACAAATTAAGGGTTAGCTACTTGAAAACTTGCAACCTTGTCTATATTTTTTTTATTTAGTGCTTTTACCAGCGTGTAGATTTCTGAGAGATTTTTTACTGTGCAGTTAGAATCAACTAGTGGTACATAGATAGATAACACTACTTTTATTTTAATTGCATTTTTTTTACTGTAGTTTATTGCTGTCTGCTTTATATGTTGTCTGTCCAAACAGGTCTCTCTTGTAAATGAGTCCTCGTGACTCATTGAGACTAACCTGTATAAATAAAGGTTGAATGAAAAAATGGTGTTGTGTTGTGTCGCCTGATGATGACATCTGCTGGACTTCAGAAATCATTGCAGGCAGCCTGGATAGAAACAAGATGACAGTGTGTCAAAAACAGAATTTACAAAACACTCTTTTGCAGGGAAGTATAAGTTCAAATTGAAAGTTGTGTAAAAGTCATTAGGACATCAAAATACTTGATGGGCTTGCATACTTGTTGAGGAGACAAGGAATGGGTTTGCTCATTTTTATGAAGGAACAGATGTTTTTAAAGCATGCCGGGCTCAAAGAGGTTTTGTGTCTGAGACCAGACTTGATGTTTTAGATCTTTCACAGAGTTCAGAAGAGGAGGAAATGCATAAAAATGTTGTAGAGGTGCAGATAAGTGTTTTTTTTTTTTTTTTGGTTCATAGTATCCTGCGTTCTTGATATGTTGGAAAGATCTTAATTAGTTCTGTTTTAAGTGTTTCATGTTTATAAACGGCATAATCCAATTTGTATAACAAATGAATAATGTTTGTTTCTTGTTAAACTCAGCAGCTGCACAAAAAGACACGGCTCAAAGTAACTTTCAGAGTCAGCCCAGTGCTGTTCACACTCACGAGGTTATCGTCTCTTTGTTGAAGAAAAGCATGGCGTCGTCATTGTCCTCCCCGTATGGACTCGCCTTTGACGAAGATGAGGAAATGGCTGTGTTTGAGTCTACAGCAGCTGAAATTGGAGGCCTGGTCAGACCACGTCTACCTGAAATCTCTGTTATTTCTCCGGGTCTGGACATTCGGCCAGCCAACCCAGAACTGGTGAGATCTGAGTCAGCGTTAAACTTTTATTTTGTTCAAAGTTTAATGTGACTATGTCCAAAAAAACATAAAATGATGAAACAATAAATTTGATGAGTTTTATTTTTGTCCAATAAGAAAGTGGCAGTAAAGGCTGGAAGCGCTGATGAAGAAACCACAGACAAAGTGAAAGTTTTTCTGCGCATTCGCCCACTTACTGCCACGGAAAAAGAGAAGGGAGAGGAGCAGGTGAGACAGTGACGTGATTATTAATGTGTAGTGTCTCTTGTAAATGAGTCCTCGAGGCTCAATGGGATTAACCTGCCTAAATAAAGGTTGAATGAATGACAACTATCAGACTTTACTAGGTGTTTTTTGTGTGTACTGTAAATGTATTGCTTTCATTGTAGCTGAATTCTTGATGCACGGTTCCATCTTCTTTTTAGGGTTGTGTGATGGTCCAGGATGAAGAAACCCTGCTGCTCAAAGCTCCACAAGACTCTCAGAACATGAGGACAGCGGAGAGGGGCATCACCCAGAGCCTTCACAAGTTTAGTTTCACAAAGGTGGGGTCATTCGTGGCTGGGTTTGTTGACCCGAAGCTTCAGAACACAGTGCAATCTGGGTCAATTGAACTGGATTGCTTTGTGGGTCAAAATGAACGAGCGTTTATTGAGAGACGAGGAAGAGGAGCACTCTGATGTTTTTTCTCTTTCCTAGATTTTTGCTCCAGAGACGACACAGCAGCAGTTTTATGAGGGCACAATGAATAAGATGGTGACTGACGTTCTGACAGGAGAAAACAGACTCCTCTACACTTATGGTGTCACCAATTCTGGAAAGACTTACACAGTCCAAGGTATGACAATTTTTTATCTTAAATAAAAAAGAGGTTTGGACACAGCAGCCCAGGTATTACTGACATGTTTGTTTCTAGCGTCGTGCCTAAAATGTTAATCATGATGTTTCATTTCTGACCTGCAGGGAGTGGTCAGGAGGCCGGTCTTGTGCCCCGGGCGTTGGCGTCTCTGTTCAGGAAGCTGCAGGGTCGTCTCTATGGTGCCATGGACCTGAAGCCTGTTATGTACCAGGATGTGAGGCAGCTTGACTCTAGTGAGATTAAGATGGAGGAAATGCGAAAAAACTCTCTTCTTAAAGAGGTAAACAGAAGTTAGGAGGGGAGTTCAGCTTCTTTTTACTAAATTTAGGACACTTTGATCTAAAAAGGAACACAGTTGTATTTGTGGTCCGTTTGAATCCCTTATTCTTTACCCTTTTATTTGTTTGAAGTGGCACCGAGTTTCTTTTGAGTTTTACAAAACTTTAGTCAGTAAGAATGCCATACATGTCAACGTGAAAACTGAAAGTTTCTGACAAGTAAACTTTGTTTTTGGTGCAATATATTCAAGTGGGTAGGAGTTACACGGTGGAGAAGGACAGAGGTAGTTTTTTTTTTTTTCCTGGTGAGTGGAGGGAGCGTTTTTATCTGCCACCAGGTGCCATGGGTGAGGGCAATTGTATCCTTGACCAGCCACCCCAATCATCTGAGGAAACCATCCATTCTAGTTTTTTGTATTATCTAAAAGCATACGGGTAGTTTCCTTAAATAATTGGAGTGGCCGGTTTACATATATGACGGTGGCCATCTTGAATTTTGATGTGGCAAGCCAATTTTTAATAATGACCTTCCTAACGCCTAGATGTAAAATAACACCAAAATGGAAGACAGTACCTTACATAGTTTTCAAGTTATGCTCATAACATGCACAGACAGACAGAGGGTATTACCAATCCCCCCTCCTTGCTCTGCGACAGGATAATTAAGCACATTAGTGGATTTTTGCCCATGCGTCTCTCTCGTCTGTCACAGGATAAGAATCGGAGTTCTCGTCGAGGCGGTACCACATCGGTCTGGGACAGTGGCGTCGGAGGTCTCTCTTCTACGTCTAACTTTGCCACTCAGCTTGAAGGTGAGGGAGAAAAATATTTAAAAAGTAAAATTTGCGTATTTTTAGAAAATCTGATTGAAGTTCTATGCGACACACTAGTTACAGTTTGACTGGATTATGCAGGAAATGTAGATTTAGTATTGCTGATCATTTGTATTTATGGTGACGCAGTTAGTTTATGTGAGCAGTAGCTCAGACCAGATCCAGTTATTAACCCTTCTGTGTTGTTTAACTGTTATTTTCCTGATGTAGTTATGTTTGCTGATGGATTTCCTTGTCTGTTTGCAGACTCTGACAGTGTGTGGTTGGAGCCGGACAGTCTGTCGCAGAGTGGGGGGGACGACCTGAAGGAAGGGGTTCAGTTTTCCATCTGGGTGTCCTTCTACGAGATCTACAATGAGTTCCTGTATGACCTGCTGGATGCTTCACCCTCCCTTCAGCCCCGGAAGAGAGTCACTCTGCGGCTGAGTGACGACAAGCAGGGCAATTCTTATGTCAAAGGTAATTATAGAAAATGCTTTCCCATATTTATGTAGGGTGGAGTTATAATTAAATTCTGGAAGTTAGGGGGCATTGCGCTTCATGTAATTCACACCCAGTTTGAAAGCGAGTACAGTTGCGTTAGACATAATAGCAGTGTTTAGAAATGTGACTAAAGCTCAAAATCCTTAGACTAATTTTTATTTCCATGCATTGGGAACACATGTACAACACAGGCTGGCTTCATCCTTAAATAAGGGCCACCTCACTGACACCTGTTTCATCACAGAATGACCTAGACCTTCTAGGAATCTACTACACCTATACTAGTAAATGATTTGCCATGTGGTAATATCATTTCTACCAAAAATCAGTGACTGGTCTGGTTAGTCTAGTTGGGCTGTGACTATTTTGAACACAACGGTATTTATGCTGCTTCTTATTGTCGTTAAAAATGGCAAATTCCTTTTTGTCACCTTAGAGCTCACGTGGATCCAAGTCCGCAGTGCTGAGGAGGCCTGGAGGATTCTGAAAGCTGGAAGTCGAAACCAAAGCTTCGCCAGCACCCACCTTAACCAAAACTCCAGCAGAAGGTTGGACGTCTAAAATATTTTTTTTTTGCTTCGGTTTGATTCGCACCTTTCGTAACGCTGATCACAAATTTATTTCCTTTTCAGCCACAGCATCTTCTCCGTCCGCGTCCTGCACGTCCATCCAGAGGCCAGTTCAAGCCAGGCCATGCACATCAGCGAGTGAGTTTGCTTCTTCGCTGTATAATGTCCATGTTTAGCCTTTTGGCGGTGAGCGATAATGTTTTTTGCCCTTGTCTTTGTTTGTTTGAAAGAAAAATATCTCGTAAACTGCCTAACAAATTTTTATTAATCTTCCAGAAAGTATTCACTGGATCTACTACTGATAAGGTTTTGGAGTAAACTGGATTCAGGACGACTTACTTAGTGAACTGATAAATAAAGAAACAAACAGAAACATGTCTATAACTCGGCTTGTTTCACACGTGTTGTCCTACATTTTATTGTGCACCACATACAGAACTCCATGGACTTTGTGGACAAGGTGAGGGACGTCATCATGGAGACTGATGAAACAATGGTCTCTTTTGATGTCACATCACTCTTTACGTGCATTCCTGTTGATGATGCAGTAGAGGTGGTCAGTTTAAGATTAAAATCAGACACCACTCTGAGCAGCAGGACCACGCTTTCCACAGAACAACTGTGTCAACTCTTGAAACTGTGCCTGCAGTCAACCTACTTCACATATGGGGAGCAATATTATAGGCAGAAACATGGGTGTGCTATGGGGTCTCCAAGTTCTCCTATTGTTGCCAACCTGTACATGGAGGAGGTAGAAAAGAGAGCCTTGACGTCCTTTTCAGGGACACCACCAAGTCATTGGTTCAGGTATGTTGACGATACCTGGGTTAAAATTAAATCTCAGGAAGTCCAACATTTTACTGACCACATCAACTCTGTGGATAAATACATCAAGTTCACACGAGAAGATGTAAAAAATGGCAGGTTGGCTTTCTTGGACTGTGAGGTCTCAGTCTCTGATAGAGGACATTTGCAAACTGAGGTGCACCGCAAACCCACCCACACAGACCAGTATTTACAGTTTGACTCCCATCACCCTTTGGAGCACAAGTTGGGAGTCATCAGGACTCTGTACCACAGAGCAGACAGCGTCCCCACTAGCTCGGGAGCCAGGCAGAAGGAGAAATCCCACACAAGACAGGCTCTCAGTATCACTCAGCCCTCTGTGAATAGCAAGCGGCCATCAGGGCACTAACTATCAAGTGTTAGGCTGATGGTCCTTCTTTTACAGGTGAACAGTTAGTTTTGTCTGTCAGTAACAAACTGGTTGATCCACTATGAGAAGTTGCTATTAATAAGAGACAGAGTTTGTTGCAGCTCCTCAGACTGACGAAGCGTTTTGGATAAAAAACGAAACATTTCAACGTAGAACGACCCATGTAGAGGACCTGACTCAACCTTGTTTGATTTAGCTACCTGGATTATTGAGCATGCATCAGTAGCCAACATTAAAATGGTTATAATGGTTTTCCAGATGTTGAGATAACATTTGACATGGTAGTAACTGAGAGTCCTCCTCAAAGTATTCAGTAGTTTGAGAGTGCGTTGTTGCAGATGATGGATTTGTCGAGGTTTGACCAGATTAGCTCCATGTTTGTTGTTTCTCAGCACGAGGTGAATTTAGTTTAACCCTCTGGTGGCAGATGATGTGTGGCCTTTATTTTTGTTTTAGCGCCCTTGAGACTTGTAACGTTTCTAAAACAGTTTTATCCTCTCTGCAGACTGACCGTGTGTGATTTGGCTGGGTCTGAACGCTGTAAAGAGCAGCGCAACGGTGAGAGGATGAAGGAGGCCAACAACATCAATACCTCCCTCCTGACACTGGGGCGCTGCATCACTGCCCTGAGGCACAACCAGAACTCCAAGTAGGTTGAAAAACTTGATGTGGTCGCAGTGTTTGAACATCAGTTAGTCTCAAATGTATTCAGAAAAGTGTACGACAAAGTTTCAATGCAAGGAAAAATGTTGAGCAGCAGCGCCGTGAGTGAGAGAGTGAATGGTTGTTTGTCTCGTTTGTCTCTACGTGTCCCTGTGATGGACTGGAGACCTGTCCAGGGTGTCCCCCACCTCTCGCCAGTGACTGCTGGATATGGACCCCAGTGACTCCCATGACTTGGAAAGAAAGAAGTTGATAAAGATAATGGATTAATAGAGTACACATTTTTAAATAGGTTTTTCAGAATAATAAACTATAATAAATAAATAAATAACGATAAAGTAAAATTTATGAAATCTAATGACGTTAATTTACAGCATATGTGTGTTTTAATATGGGAGTTAGGAGCTGCCAAGAGTTTCCAGTAACCCAGTAAATCTCAGAATGCTCTGATGTCCTAGCTTTTCATCAGCCTTGAATGCAGCATTGCATTAGTGAACCTTGAGCATGACGAAAGTCTCGTTCACAGTCTGAGTCTGATCTGTGTGTTCAGGGCGACTGATCCACCTACAGCAGCATTTGACAATTTGTATACTTTGCATATTTCTACAAACCTGTGCAGCATAAAATGTGAACAATTAAAAAACTTAGAGAGTCCTGTGGTACACCTACAGGTCTGGTTGAATGTTTCTAATTACATTTGAGACAAACCTCCATTGTAGTGAACGAAACGAAATTAAACGCCGCACTGTTTGAGTTGGACATAAACTTCAGGAATTTGTCAAACTCGTCCACAGGTTGCGACCCCCTCAAGTGGTTCCCTTCAGGGACAGTAAGCTGACCCGCGTCCTGCAGGGCTTCTTCTGCGGGCGAGGAACTTCCTGCATGGTGGTCAACATCAATCCATGCGCCTCCGTCTATGACGAGACACTCCAGGCTCTGAAATTCTCTGCTATTGCCACTCAGGTAAGAAACTTGTTCTTCTTTCTTCTTGTTCTTTCTTCTTCCAACAAAAAAAAAAACTTTTGAGTTGTTTAGTTTTGCATTTAAGAAAAGGACAAAACGTGTCATTTCAGCTCGTCCACGGCCCGTCCACTAAGACCAGAGTCGCCTACATCCTGTCTCTACTCCGCGAGCCGGCAGCTAACGGTAATGAAAGCACACTGATTGAGGAGGAAGAGGATGAAAGTGATGTGGAAGATGGAGATATCTCCTTACTAGAAACACGGGTAATGTGCGCCACCATTTTTGGAAGAGATAATTACTATTCCTGTTGGAAGTAAAGCTTTAACCTAGAGTGTTATGGATGTTCAAATGAACTAAATATTGATAAAATATTCACGTCTATTTTTCTAAACCTTAAGAAGCCAAATGCTAGTTATTGTTCTAACAGCCAGCTGTCCATTATTAAGACTTTACTGCAGACCATCGATATCCTGAAGAGAGTGGTGCGGCGCCAGCAGCATGAGAAGGAAGTTCTTGAAGCTCAAGTGAGAGAGGAGGTGGTCTCTGAGATGATGGAGGTCATGTCTCGGATGCAAGAAAACTTTAAGTACGTTTCATCTTGGTTTAATTGTTTTTATACCAATCTTCAGATGATACCATGACTTCTGTTAATGCGTACATGTTTTACGGAACATCGAAAGGTCAAAACAATCTACTAGAATGAGATGGATGTTGAGGCTGAGTTGTCTTTTTGTCCAACAGCGAGACCTTGGAGACGCAGATTTCTTTAACAGAGGAGAAGTACGAGAACAAACTATCGATTCTGGAGACTCATCTGAAGAAATTCTACAGCCAGGAGCTAAAGGTCAGACCTGCTGATGAGCAAAGTTCTTTTATCCATTATCTTTTACCCGCTTCTTTCATTCTGGGTCACAGGGGTCGCCAGTGCCCATGTCCAGGAGTCACTGTGCAAGGGGCGGGGTACACCCTGGACAGTATAATAAAATTCATTCATATCTATATATATAGATAGATATATGAATGAATGAACTTTATTTAAAAAGGGACAATGTACAACTCAAACCTAAATGTCACCATTTGATGTGCTGTACCAGATTATATCAAAAGCTACAGTAATTTGCATCTGCAGTCCCTTGACGAGTTAAAAAAAAAAAAAAGACATAAAATGCAATAATAAAATAAGACAGAAAATATTTCACCATAAATTGTTTTCAAATCAAAATACACAAACACGTGCACAGACTCGATCATTGACGTACGCACAGGTCTTAAAACACTGTCACCAGCCTGACCCCAACAGGTGACACACTACGACATGGGATCAAATCATGGCATGCATGAATGTCTTAGCTGCATCAAGTGAGAGACAATGTTAATATATTTAAAATAAATTAAGATTGAATTTAATGACTTTAGTCATATTGTATCATTTGCCGTCCCCAGTGGCTATGATCATCGTCCCTTTAGTCATGTATAAATACGGGTATCTCATATTATGGACTCGTTACTTTAATTTGTAATTGCAGGAGCGTGATGAGGAGATTGGAGCTTTGTCTGCTTCTCTTGAAAAGACAAACAGAAATGAAGAGGCGGTCCCCATCCTGGCCCCTCTGGAGGACTCCGAGGCCCCCCGGCGTTCTCAGCGCCTCTCTCACAGCGGAGTCAACAAACTGCGCGCTGAACTTGAACAATGTCGCGCCGAGCTTTTTACCAAGACCCAGGGTACAGTCATGATGACAAACCTGATCCGATTATGTGTTAATGACGGGGTAACATTACTGGTGGTTTATTTAATTTAATTGAGCTCCGTTTGTCTGTGCAGAACTGACGAGGCTCAGGATGGAGCTGGAGGTGCCGGGTTCTGCCGGACGTCTCACCAACACCACAGACCGCAAGCTGCAGGAGGGTCAGCGGGTCAGTCACTGCTCCATCATTAAAGATGCTTTTCTTAAAATTTATTATTATTTTTGACAGTTTATTTTTGCTCCCTCAGATACAAGTGTAAAAAAAATAAAATTAGTTTTTCATCAATAGAACCTGCAGAAGCTGCGCCTGGATTTGCAAAGGTTGGGAGCTGATCTGCAGTCTGGAGAACGAGCTTGTTGCCGCAACACCGGGGGGGAGAGGCTGCGGCACACGCTAACCGCTGCAGATGAGACGCTAGTTAAACAGGTACGACCGTGTTTGATGTGTGGGAAACACGTTTATGTTTACAAGAGCCTTCCTCTGAAGAGTTATCCGTTCTTTGTTCTGACTGAATATCCAAAGAACCTTTTATCTGTTTTTACTCTTGTGAAATTTCAAGAGTTTTTGTAAAAATTAAAAAAAAAATACTTTTCAATGTGATAACTTTTTGCAGATTGTAAATGTTTAAATATGCTTTTCTCCTTCTGCTCTTTTTTTCTCTAACGTTCTTGGTGCACAGCCTGCTTTAAAACTAAATTTAGGTGTAACACCTTCACTGGGTGGTTGCTGAGCTAATTACAGCATGTTGCTCCTACATGTTCCCTGCCTCCCCGCCTACACTCTTCCTCTTCACCCTCCTCCCTCCCTCTGTGGGCCTGTCTAACCCTGTCGACTGACTTCTTCTCAGAACCAGATCCTGATGGAGCTCCAGAACAACCTGACGCTGGTCAAAGCAGAGCTGCGGCGGAAAGCAGAGACCCAGGCAAGGTGTGCCCAGCTGCCCCCTATGAGCTTCGCCGTCCCCATCACACCTGGCTCCTGCAAAAAGAGGGGCTGTGTGGCCCCCACCCCGAGCGAAACCGAGAACAAGCCTCCGCAAAAACGCTTTTTCCAATCTCTGTTCTCGCCACATAAATACAACACCCGCACCGCAGGAGGGAACGTTACCCCGTACTCGCAGATCCTACGGTCTCGCCAGCCGTCTCCTCCTCCCAGCCCCGTCCTCACCCCACGCACCCTCGTGGGGAAGTACTGAGCTCTTCAGGGCCTCAAAGCTTCTGATATGCAAAACCTAACCGCTGAATAACTTTATGGTCTTTTAAAAATATATATTTTTTACATTTATAAGTCTTCTCTCTGTCGAGCCAAAAACAGTTTTATTTCTATAATGTCAGTTGAAAAAAAACAAAAGCTTTACAGTATCTGAAGGACTTTGAGGTCAGACCTGTACAGAAGAGGATTAGTGTCAGAAAGTTTTGTTTTTGCCTTAAAAGAATTCAGATTTTTTATTTTTTTCAAATTCTGGGATTAAAGTCAAAGTCCTGACATTTAAAAAGTCATAATTTTTCTTTTTATTCCCACAGATTTTAGATAATTTTTTCTAATTTTCCAAGGACTCAGTGGATAAATGGAAGTTTTCCGTGTCTTGCCTTCATGCTTTACTTTCTTCACCATATGACCGATTTGTTTGCTCACTTTTAAACTGTAGCGGATTACTAAAATAATCACAACCCACACTGAAAGGTTTCAGTTGCTGCTTTTTTGTTGTGAAACAAATTTCTGGTGGATATTTCGTATACATGTCTGATTGTTTTAGAATGGTTTGGTGTTTTAATGTAATCTGAACAGTCGAGATGTGATTTCTGTGTAAATCTTTCAAGAACCTTCAACACTTCTGCTCGTATCTAAACCTTTTTATACACGTGTATTAAAACATCTTATAAACGGGTGTGTATGTGCAGTTATTCAACAGGATGTGGCTATAATTTCAGCATTTTACTATATACCGTATTTTCTGGCGTACAAGTCATTCTTACAACTTGTGTGTTTTTTTTCTTAACGCTGGAGAGCCAGATGGATGTCGCTGAGCTGCACAGGTGAAATGAAGCTGCTTTGACTATTAAATAAAGGCGTGATAAACGCGACGGGTCAGCGGTGACGCATTATAAATGTGACTTATACGCCAAAGCAACTTGTATGTTTTTTTTTCTCGTCGTGCTTTATTTTTGACTAATTGGACTTGCACGCCGGGAACTATGGTCATGTTTATATCGGGGGTGCTCGAGGACCGTTTGCGGCCCTTGGAGATTTTGTGTGCACTTAAAGAATGGTTTAATTTCAACCTACAGGATGAAGAGGTTGATATAGACCTTTAGATTTAATGGTGATGCTTGATAATTTTTAGGTTCAACAGCAAAACATTAAAATAATTTCAAAATGAGCTGTATTAAGTACAATCCAAATATTGAGCTATAATGAATCCCTTTATCCTACAAACTCCCTGACCTACCAAAAAGTAGAATATTAGGTAATAATTCATAAAACTTGGCTAAATATAACAAGTTTTCAAAGAAAATCATTTTGGTTTCTTAAATAGTCAATGGGGAGAAATTGGACATTTTTAAAGAATATAAAGTGGTAAAATCGACATCCAAGTTGATCAACTTTGTCTTTATCCCTTCAAACTTATGAATCTGTTTAAGCGACTGCCGGCTGTTTTTCAGAAGTTCCATGACCATTTTTTGGGCGTCCATGGTCCAAACAGGTGTTTGAAGCTCCACCCCCTTTTTAAAAAGAACATTTACTCAGTTTAGGCTTTTGTCTCTGAAACAAAAATTAACTTTCCAAGCACAAGGAAACAAATAATAGACCCCCCCAAGAAATTAATAAAATAAAAACTTTAAAAAAATAAAAAAGATTGTTTACGAGGCTCTTAATGTTCTGGATCTATAATTTAAACTTTTTTAGCCTTTCTCCAAAATATTGTTCACGTTGTTGAGAGTTTAAAAACGAGGTGGGAAATAACGCTTTAAAAACTTTTCATTTTTTTCCCCTTAAATTAAAAATATTCTGGTCCGCGAGTCCAGAACTGCTCAGGGGGCCAGTTTCTGAAAGCTCGGGGGCCAAACATCCAGCAATTACAATCATTATGTAAATAAACCAAGTTTTATAATAATCTGTTACCTTTTAAATTTTATTTTATAGCATTGACTCATAAATGCAACAAACAGAACCCAAAACCAGAACCCCCCCACCCCCCAAACAATGTATATTTTTTATGAAGTGGGGCAAATTGAAGTCACCCGCGGGCCATTTCTGGCCCGTGGGCCACCAGTGGAGTAGCCCTGATCTAGACAGTTCTGGCCCACCCAGACGTTTGGACCCCCCTGGTTTATATGGAGGAAAAAAATCAGGATGGAAACAATACAAATGTTTATTTTCACACAACTCTTTCCCAGGAATGTTTTCGTCCAAAGTCAGATAGTCTACATGAGAGTTCCCAAAAAGTCCATCTGCAGACCAGTGGGCGTCACGGAGTGAAGGAGATCAGGTTCAGAGGGGACACCCTCCTGACGGGCGTGTTGTTGTTTGAGAGCGGTGCAAACAGATCTGCAGACGGAGTCTCCACCTGATCTCTGACCTGTGAGATCTGCCTCAGCAGAGCCTTCCCCTCTTCTCGAGCCTGCACAGTGACCAGAAACACCGGTGAGTGCCAACCGAGTCGGCGACTACAGCAGGGAGAACTCGAGAACACTTACATCGTTGTAGTCACAACAGCGCTGGGCGCAAATGGACGCCTCGTCGTAGAGCTTGCTCTTGAAATAGTACTGCCCCAGGTACCGCAGGGCTGTGCTCACCTCAGCGTGCTCCAGTTGCTCCTGACAGCAACATTTCAGTTTAAATACAAAATACGACATCAAGCAAGTTCGCTTCATGATTGCTTGTTGACTAATTCAAAATTAACAAGAGTACTGCATACTAGGGACGCACGATATTATCGGAACTGTATATCAGCGTTAAAGTTCAATATCGGACGTTCCACTAAAATAACTCGCTGATATAAAAGACAGTTTTTGTGTGACAACCCAGTGACAAGGATGCCTGCACCTGCAGCGGCAGCACAACATGATGACATCACACGTGCCTACCTGATCTCACGGAAGGAGAGGGAAATTCAAAATGTCTGCAGTGTGGAAGTTTTTTTTTGAGTATATCAGATTCTGAAGATTTATGGACTACGTTGAGCCTCGCTACATCGTCCCCAGTCAGAGATATTTTTCCGACGTAACCTTACCCGAGTTGCAAGCTGTCATTTTCTACATCACTGAGAAGCTAATAGTCGATAGCACGACTTGATGGGTGAGTTTTACCACAGACATTTGGACGTCGTGTTAGCCCCGTTAGCATGATGGATAGACAAAAACTTTGAATTTAAAAAGGCTGTCCTTCATGCACAGGAGTGCAGAGGATCCCACACTGCAGCTATAGGAACCTGGAACAAGCCTCCACAAGTGAGACAGCATCGCAGGTGACTAATGCTAATAAATAACATTTAACACTTTTTATTTAATATAAGTTAAAGCGCTATGCAGATCATATGGCTGTTACTGAATATATGTCACCAGCTCTTACAGCTTTTGCACAATTTTTGTAGCAAATAAGCCTAAATAAGAGGAATATGTTCTGACAAAGGAAAGTATATAAAATATCAGTATCGGCCAAATAAGTTTGAAAATATTGGCCAAAAATCCAATATCGTGCATCCCTACTTCATACGGCACATTATACACCCTTTGACAAACTTACAGTGATCTATAGCCATAACCAAGACAGCAAAGACCTTGAATAACATTTGACCTTGATTTGTGACCTTGGTGATGATTACGTGACTATCTGTCTAGTAGCGGTATAAATGTGCGTCAAGTTTTGTTAAACTGAACAGATCTGGATATGAGCGGGACTAAAACTTGTTTTAATTTTGACCTTAATATGTGACCTTGACCTTGAGGCTGAGGTGATGAAAAGTGCATGCGGCATTCTGTCTAGTGATGATGCATAAGTGTATGACGCTTCGCTAAATTATCCTGAGCCGATTGGAAGTGATGGGCCGGACAAGAGAGTTTATGTAGAAACACTTGTGAGACAAAAATCTAACACTTTATCCGTCCTGTGCAGACCTTTAAACCTACACCTAACAAAAAAAAAAAAAGTTTCCGAGCTACAGTTTTACAATTTAAATCTACTAACGTCACTAATCTAAATCACAAAGCTAAATGCGAAAAACGTACCCCGCACGAGAAAATGTCTTGGATATAAAGCATGTAACACTGCGCAGCATCGTCCGACTCGTTCAGCTGCTCGTGGAGCCTGAGGAGGAGCAGGAGGTGGAAACAGACACAAAGAAATAAGCTTTAAATGATCTAATGATAACATATACATAGCTGCTACTTTTTCCACACTCTTTGAACATTTGTGGATTTTTACGAGCTTCACGCCGCCAAAACATTTAGCCTCGTCGCACTCGGGCGCTCACATAGCTGCTCAATACACGTCTCTCTTGAAAACGAGTCCTTGTGACTCAATGAGACCAACTAAATCAAAGTTAAGAAAAAAAGAATCAAACCAATAAAATTAGCGGACAGTGGACCAATTAAACTTCAAATTAAATCAAACGCACTCGCACAAAATCCTTCACAGTCATTTTACACTTCATGCACTCATCATGGAAAACATGAAGAAATGCATACGATGCAGCTTTCAAGTTAAAGGCGATCGATCTGGCCGTCATAGAAGGAAAGAGAGCTGCTGCACATCTGCTAGGCATCGATGCTCGAGCTCAGTGGGAGGCTTGGACGACTAGTCGTGCGAAGTCCTTTACCAAAACTGGCCACACGTGAAGAGCAACGTCTGCCAGTGGATCCCAACAGCAGAGCGTTGTCAAAAAAAAAAAAAAAATCGCCAACAGGTTTCGAAAGGCTGGACTGCAGAGTGATGAAGAGGACGGCACAAGCTCAAGTGCGAACTTGCCTCGAGACGAAAGTGAAGTTTAGAGCGACAACGAAAGAGACTGAGGACGTGTGTGACAAAGTAATTCTGAGGCTGTTCAATCCCGACACTGAAGAAAACTTTAGTGGTTTTAGTGCACAGGAGGAAGATGTGGATAACGTTAGGCCTGTCACAATAACAAATCTTGCGGGGCGATTAATTGTCTCAGAATTTATTGCGATAAACAATAATATTGTTTGAAATTTAACATTAATTGTCAAATTTTAGAAGAAATGATTTGTTTGGGGTGTAGTACCTTTTTTGACCACCTGATGGCAGCATAAGACTGTTAGAAACAAAAGGATGGATAGTGGAGCAGCGTCTCTAAGAAAAATGGGAGGGAGGGTCCTTGATGTGACTTGGGCTGACATGGTGGACGATCCGTGTGGTTTGAGCTCTTTAGCATAGCATTTTTCACACAAAGGTTTTAATAAAAAATATATATATATCAGTAAACAAGTTCTCGGCATCTTTTTGCAGAGAAAAACTAAAACGGCACGGGTTTCAAACGTTAATTTTGTAGCTTCGACAAGACACAGGTCTAAAGGTTTAAAAAATCTTTCTGCGTAAATATGTCATGTTCCAACCAGAGCCAGATTAACACGTCGCTGTACCCAGGGCAACAATCTTCAAGGGCCCCATCATCACAACCCCAGAGCCACCATAATCTGTCAAAATACAGAATAAATGATCATAATATACAGTAAATATACTTAAAATTCTAACTATCGAGTGTATTTTGATTTATAAAAATTTAAATGCTCATAGAACTATAAATGCTACTGTGTCGTCTTGTTGACGCAAATCATCAAGACTGAGTTAAGTTGAACGCACTTTGAACACCATACGACATCATGTGTACTTGTTTAGCAACGTGTTGGCCAATGGTGTCAAAAGCATTTGTAATGGGGGGGGGGGGGGGGGTCGTTCCCCAGAGAATTTTGAAAAAAGTAGATGCCATTTCCTGCATTCTGGTGTATTTTAACAGTTGTTAAACGTCTAGTTTTACCTACACAAGTAAAACTTGATTCAATAACTATTTTAGAGTAAATGGCACAAGAAGTTACCTGACCAACAGCTGATTCAATTAATTAAAAATATTATATATTCAAAGGTGACAATGTGATGCCCACATTAAAACTAAATGACTGTAACTTAGTTGACTTCAAATGCAACAAGATTACCAATGAATGTTTGCAACAAAGGATTTACTGATTCCTTCAAGAAACCTCCCAGTATAAATCATAAAACCAGAATGACTTCTGCTCATTCTAAATTTGTCAAATGGCCTAAATCTCCTAAAGTGAAGGAGAATCATTTAAAAATAAATACGATATATCCTGTAGCCATGTTTCTTGAAATAAGATTTAAATTTGAGGCTGATTTATGCGTCTTTTGTCAATCAGAAGATGAATCCCTCGAGCATTTTATTTTATCATGTCATTACAAAGTTTTAGGTCAGACATCAGAAACTGGATTAATCTCAAACTTAATATATATTCTTTTGATGCTGATGCCATTTTATTTTATGTGGATAACTTAAGCTCAGCTTTCTCTGATGCCATAAATATAATCGTACTTATAGCAAAGCTTATAATAAGCCCTCCTTCCTGTTTTATGAACGATTTTAAGTCATACTATTCTTTATTAAGTAGTTTAAAAAACTTCAAAACTGATAGAATTATCTCACAACAGATAAAAACTTATTGTTTCAATTAAAACAAGTTTTTCATGTCCCGCTCCTTTGTTTTTTATTTATTACCTTTTTTATGTTTTTTTTTTCTTGCATTATTTTGTGAAATGTAGTTATGACACCCTTCACGAGTTTGTATTTGTTTATTGTTGCATTGTTCTGTTTTGTGTTAATAAAATTCTAGAAAAAAAAACCTGACACTTGTCAGCAGGTAAGGGGCATTTACCTTCGGGACAAATTGAGGTCGTTGATTGGTCAGTTACTGACACGCCTACTGGATTGATTGACAGGTCGCGCCATGGAGGATCCGACTCGGTTAAAAAACAAAAAAAAAAAAACGAGAGCATAGCAGCCGTCGCTCTGCAGCGCAGAGGTGATGACTATCACCTCCAGGTGATGACCAGATCTTTTGCTTGTGCCCTCACTGCTCTGGGCCCCTTAGAGACCGTGGGCCCCTGGGCAGTTGCCCGTATGGTTAATCCGGCATTGGTTACAACGTGGACACCTGCGGCTTATACACAAGTTGCAGCTTTTATATGTACACTTTTTTTTAAAGTTAGTGGGTGTGGCTTATATTCAGGTGCACTCAATAGTCCGGAAATTACGGTAAGTGTTTAGTTTTCCAAGAAAAACCATGATAAACACTTACTTTGCTAATTTGAGTAGAGCCATCTTTTCTACATCCCCCACAGAGTACGCCCTCCAGTAACACTGAACATGAGCAGAAGACATGGTGAGAATTAAAAACTGTAAACTCAAGGACTCCAGTGTCTGACAGCTGAGGGGTACGCACCTTCTTGGCTTCCACTTGCTGCGATAGTTTTTCATAGCTTTCTCCCAGCGCAACCAACATGCGTGAATCATTGGGCCTAGATGTAAAAAATGAGGATTACATTTTCAATTCCAGACAATTTTGTAGTAAAATAAAGTAAAACATCAGCTAAAATATATTCAAATTGATACCTTAGCTGGTGAGCCTTTCTATAATAGTATAAACAGTAAAAGGGCATCTTGAGGATCTCGTACGTCTGACCCAGGCCATACCAGGCCCGATAGTCCCGCTTGTTCACTTCAATGGCATGCCTGATGGAAAAAAACAAAAACAGTGACGTCATGCTTCAGGACAGTCGGTTTAAACCGTCACCCTGTATGGAGGGTGTCAGAGGAGTTTAGGTAAAGGTTATGGATGTTTATCACTAACTAATGTTAAACTAATGTTGAACCATGTGTAAGGTCAGAGTCTTTTGCTCAGAGAGCTGATTTGAGCCTTCATGTACAGATGGCACGATGAGGTCACCAGTGACTGTCTGATAAGCATTATAAAAAACACTTCCTGCCTCTCTGTCTGTTGCAGTCTCTCACTGATGAGGCTCTAAACCTGTAATTTCTGTACATCTGTGAAAGCTTCCTCATGACCCTTGCACGTAAACACAGGTTAAAAAACTCTTGTGTCCTCAGAGTGGCTCATTTAAGTTAGCAGATGATGAAAGGATATTTATTTATGCAACAGAGGGTCACATGAAACCTAACCTGTAGGCCTGAATGGCAGCTGAAGTGTTCTTCATTTCCATGTACTCGTGGCCCATGAGGGTCCAGGCTCCCAGACAGCGAGGGTTCAGTTTCAGGGCCCGCTGGAAGTAGAGGGCTGCTTTCTCATGCTGAGAGCGTAAGCTGTAGTAGTTACCTACAAATGAAAGACATTCAAAACTTAAAAGAAGAGAAAATAAAACGACTAAGTTTTATTTTTACAAACTGCAGCCGACACCAAAATTGTGTTTTGTGATCGGATTCATTCAACTGTTACCAATAACACAGCACGTCTCCACTCTGTACTTGTCAATCTCCACCAGGTTGTGGGCCAGGTAACTCAGTTCTGGTTTCATACTCTGGAAAAGCACAAAACAGACTTAACACAAACTGGTCTAACCAAGTGACCCTGCATCCTTTTTAATAGTTTAATATTAATTCCTTGTTGCTCAGATCCAAGGTAAAGACGGTGAACTCACTCTGACATAAAGCAGGTTAGAAAACGTGTCCATGTTGTCGATGCGATATGGATCCTGCTCCCTCAGCTCATTGAACAGCGTCAAAGCTTGGTCAATATCTTGAATACGCAGAGACAAATCGCTTTTAAGTTTATTCTGCTCATTTATTTTTTTCCCCCAACATTTAAAAGCGTAATTAAAAAAGTAGAAAATACACCTCTGAAGTTATGGTAGGCCACAGCAACCTGCGAGATGATGTATGTGCTCTTGGAAAAGCCCGCGTCGATGAGGTTCTGGTATTTCTGCAACGCCTCTGTGATCATCTGCAGCTCCGTGTACATGTGGGCCATGAAGAAGTCTTTAATCCAGCAGTCCGGCAGAGACAGAGACTTCAGCTGAAGAGCGACCAGGTAGAAACAACCACAGAAGTTACCTTTCAAAATGCAGATTACATGAAATGCAATGAAGAGCCCCAAACTTTTACCATTTCTATATTTGTGACAAGGTTACTGAGCTCCAGCCATGCTCCCCAGTGAAGAGGAAGTGCATGAATCGCCTCAACAAACACTTTCACCGCCTCTTTCAGCAGATCAAGCTTTCGTAGAACCACCCCATACCTGTGTTTTCACACACAGAAATGAGAAAAAACGCCAACTTGTTCCTCTGTTCAGGAAAAATGTCCACTTTGGCACGAGAGGCTCTTACAGATAGAGTGTGAAGCTGTCCAGCTCTCCTGCAGAGTGCTTCTTACTGAGCTCAACTCTTAGTTCTCGTAAAGCTTCATTGCGCACTTGACCTTTTTCCAGAGGACCTACAACCCACAGAATCACACAAAATATTTAGGGGTAAAGAGAAAAAAAAACAAACATCTTTGTTCTTTTATTAATAGAAAACAAAGTTCTCACCCAAGCTGTCTACCGTCTCGTCATCTTTCTTTTTCTCTCCTGACTAAAAACAAAGAAGATACATTTCAAACTGCTTTTGACACACAGCATTAGGAAGCTAACCTTGTCACAAAACTTCATAAATGCTTCAAGGAATGGGGTCAGCCAGAATCTTACCAGATAACGTGAATACATATAGAGGAAATAAGCCTTCTGACTGCAGCAGCCTTTCAGAAAGTAGGCAGCACGGTCGTACTCCTTCAGGTCAAAATACGATTTGGCCAGCGTCAGTACATCCAGGTCTTGAGCATCTTCCTACACACGGAGCAGGAAAGTCATCTTTAAAACAGTAATTTAAATAAATACATTTCAATTTTAATCAGAAATATTTTTGATGCGAATACTGTTGAACTTCAGTAAAACTGAAATCAAATCATTCCAAGTCGTTTATGATATTTTTTTCCACACAGTGACACGTGGCTGATGAGACAACGAGAAGCAGAGCCACAAGATCTCTGCAGTAAAATCAAATACATTTTGTTTATAAAGTCTACTTCAAGCAAGTAGAAAAAGTCAAAATGTTGTAAACAGAATGATAAAAGCACAAAACGAAGACAAAAACAGACATAAGTCCGACTAAGTTGTTGTTTTCTTTTCGGCTGCTCTTTTCTTCAGGGGTCACCACAGCGAGCAAACTCGCATGAATGATTTGGCAGATGTTTCTTACAGGACACCATTCCTGACCAACACGGGCTCAAACCTGCAGCCTCAAAAAATACAATGCCGTGGTACTGACCACTGAGCTACCGCTGCACAAGGAAATCATTTTAAAAATGATAGCTTTGGCCCAGTGGTGAATGAGGGTATTCTACAATCTGAGGCCTGGAGGTTTGATTCATATGCCCTACAGCATGCACAAGTGTCAGTGGGCAAGAACCTGTACCCCACGCTGCTCCTGATATGCTTAGTTATGCACACAGAGCACAGTATGTGTGTGCATGAGAAACATGAGTGTGAAAGAGAAACACTTTCCAGATTCTTGAGATTAAAAAGGTACTGAATAAGGTGTGGACCATTCACCATTTAGAATCACAATGCACTGTCTAAATCGACCAGAAAAGAGCAGGACAGTTCACAAACTCATCTTAAAGCAGGACATCATCATCATCAACACAGGGTTCCCAGCATTTCCATCCATCCATCTATCATCTGCAGTATCATCACTGGTGCCCATGTTCAGCTATCACTGTGTGAGAGGCGGGGTACACCCTGGATAAGTCGCAAGTCCATCACAGGGCCACATAGAGACAAACAACCATTCACTCTTACTCACACCTAGGGACAATTTAGGATTACCAATTAGCCTAACGTTTCATGAAAACAAAATTCTCTGATTTTTTCCCCGAGTAAATCTTGAAATTCCAGGAGATATTTCAGTCACACAAAACTCAGAATTTAGAGTCTTAGATGATGGACTGAGTCAGATTCAGAGATGACAGGAAGTAAATTGTAGCCTACGGTACATGGATATGGCAATCGTTCCTAATCATTTGTTGCACAACATCAGATACTAAAAAGCCACCGATGCCAGTCAGAAAGGATACATGTATTATACTGACTGTAGAAGCAGAGCCTGAACTCAATGACACTAGAATACTAGCAGTAAGATAGTGTCTGCTATCTTAGCAATTGGCTCAGTTGGTAGAGCTGTTTCCTCTCAGTGAGAAGGTTGCTGGATCAAATCCCGGTCTGGGGGGCCTTTCTGCATGTTCTCTCCATGCATGCGTGGATTTTCTCCGGGTACTCCGGTTTCCTCCCAAAGGCCAAAAACATGCATGTTAGACTGAGTGGTGCCTCAATTGTCTCTAGGTGTGAGTGAGAGAGTGAATGGTTGTTTGTCTCATTTGTCTCCATGTGTCCCTGTGATGGACTGGAGACCTGTCCAGGGTGTCCCCTGCCTCTCGCCTAATGAATATGGGACCTCCGTGACCCAGAAACAAAAAAGCAAATGAAGATAATGAATGGATGGATAGCAGTAATACGTGCACATGTTAAAATCTCACAAAGATGATCTTTTATTAGCTGATCAGAGTTCAAATTCTCTGAGTTTTCCCTGTATTTCCAGGTTTTCCATGATTTTCAGAGTTGCTAACTCTGCATCACCAACATCAAAAGAAACAACATGAAGACCTGCTGCCTCCAATCATGAATCCACAAACACACATACGACAACAAATGTTCTTTGCAATGTCAATATCATACATTTATAATTAAACAGGACAATGATTTTCTGATAAACACCACCACAGAATGTTGAGATTTCACTAAAATTAAAAATATGTATAAAATACTGATGAACAAACCTCCGTGAAGGCGGCTGCTGGGGGTAAATCATCTTTGGGAAGGGGTCCCAAAGCAAACGCCAATTCAGAAGCCCTGAAACGTAACGAGCACAGAACAGGTGTCTGCATTTATCCAGCTTTGTTTGTTTACTTCTTAGAAACAGAAAACAACAAGAAGGGACCAAGAGCGTAGCGTTAAGAAGAATGTGTTTACAAAATACCACCTCCATTTGACATATAATTTATGGTGTTTTGAGGCAAAAATGACAGTAAAGTTAACAATATTGAATGTAACAATACAGTATATTTCCTATGCTCAGTAAACTAATAAAAACGGACTGGTAATAAACGTTTTCATCAGCAGTGCTAACGAAGCTAACACAACCGCTGCTAAATTTGACGCATTAAAAACGTAAAAAAAGACACACAGTTAATGGCATATTAATTGTTCTTGGTTTTACCATTTGGCGCTATGTAAAAGTCCTCTTTCTTTACACAGCGATATGACAGATATTAGCTGTTTTTTTATTTGGACCAAGTCCCCGAAGTCACAACACAGAGCCGCCATTTTCATATTTTACCAGACTGGCAGGCGATTGGTGGAAGAACCATTTCCGCTTTTTTTTTCTTCTTCGTGTAATTTATTGACAGCTGGCAAAACACTGGAGGTGCACAGTACCGCCACTAATTGGTATGGAGTGTAGTTCATCAGTTGTATGTATGATAAAACTATTTAATCAAGTTCTATTAATCAATTTTGTTTTCTTAAAATACATAATTATAATTTGTATATTATTGCTCCCTAAGTTATCTATTATTTTAAACTTTTCTTTCTTCTTTCCACTAAAGTCTCTCCTCATATATCTTCTTTTTTCTTCATATTTCTGACATTCCAGTATAACATGTTCTATTGTTTCATCCTGTCCACAGTGCTCACTTTTTCCTGTACTATGCTTCTGTATTTGAAAAAAGTGTATAATTCAATTCAATTAAATTCAGTTTATTTATATAGCACCAAGTCTGTTTGCTCTGAGTTGATAGCTCTGTCAGCCCTGAGCTTATGAGTTATTTCCCACTCACATCTTCAGCTGCGCCACCAGTAACAGAGGCTTGACCCTGCCCTGCAGCTGGGTTAAGGCCAGGCTTTGAGGGGATAGCATGCATTTAGGATCTGGATTGAATAACTGGTGTGAAAGTGAGGTTAAATAAAAAAAAAAATAATAATAATGTCAGTCTCATCAAAACACTTCAGCACAGCCAGGCTGAAGGTGGAGGCTCTGTTAATCCTATTCTTTTGTGTTTGGTAATAAAAAAAATATGAGAAAACACAAAACCTTCTTGTGAACTGTGTTTCATTTGGAAATGTTTTGCATGAGTTTTTGGAGCAAATAAAGAAACTATAAACATAAAAATGTCCTAAAATTTGATGTGGGAGTAGCAGAGATTTATCCTCAACACACTGAATCAGGGAGGGCAACATTTTTTTTAGAGGGTCAAATCAAGATATTTAAAGCACTCAAAGGGCCGAGAACTGGAAAAGGTGCCATTTGTAAAGTTACACAGTCAAAAATTAACAGTAATATTTTGATTTATTTAGCCTTTCATAAGAAAAAAAAGTTTTTTTTAAGTCATTTTTTAAGTCACCATGTTATTCATACATTTATAAATGTCATAGTTCCAAAACAACAATTTAATTTACAAACTAAATACTTAACTTGTAAGTTAAATATTTAGGTCGGAGCTAAATATTTAGTTAGCAAATTAAATATTTAGCTTAGAAATTAAATGTTTAGTGTTGAAAATAAATATTTAGCTTAGAAATTAAATATTTAATTTACACCTAAATACTTAGTTAACTAACTAAATATTTAACTTGCAAGTTAAATATTTAGTTTGCAAATTAAACATAAACATTTAGTTTGTAAAATAAATATTTAGTGTGGAGCTAAATGTTTAGTATACTAACTAAATATTTAACTTGCATGTTAAACATTTTGTTTGTAAACTAAATAATTAGCTTGTAAATTAAATATTTAGTTTGGAACTATGACATGTATAAAGGTATAAATAACATGGAGAAAATATGACAAAAAAAACAATTATATTTTTTCTTATGAAAGGCTAAATAAACCATAATATTGCTGTTAATTTTTGACTGTGTAACTTCACAAACGACACCCCATGGATAAGCAAGTTACCGGTAAATTCACCAATCTCATTCCACATCACTGAATTTAATGAATTTTTCATCCGCGGTGTCGCTTCTGAACAAATCCGGAGGATTTAGCAGAAGAGGAACAACTTATAGTTGTCAAAGTCCTAGAGGGCCCTCTCGCAGCTGCAAACGGTAATGTTTACTCTTTGGTTCATGTTTGTAGGAATGAACATTTAACGCGTCAGCCAAATATTGCATCATGAATATGGAAAAAAAACGTAAATAAGATGCTTCGAACTATACGTCACAGGACTGGCCAAACTCAGAAAAAAAGAGCGACTTATAGTCTGAAAAATACGGTAAAGAGTATGTTCAGGCTTTTTATTGTTGTAGCACCGTTAGCATGCTTGATAAAAACATGTCTCCCCAACATTCTTTAGCAATGTTACATATATTTCTGTAAAGTGGCTCTTGTGACATGAACGTTAGTGTAAATTTATAAAAAAAAAAATAAAAAAAAAGTTATATGTTTGCTTTATGAAGTCTTTTACATTCTGGAAGCACAATGACTTAAAAAAGTTTCAGCCAATCTTAATACAAATGTTTTTTTTTAAATATAGCTACAGTATTTGTCTGAGATGTTTAATAGAAATTTCTTTAAGTTTCATTGATTAAACGCTGGCTTTCATCAACTCATTTAAAAGTTGTTTTCTTCTCATCTAAACATTTAAGGGGCCACATGGCGATGGTCCAAGAGCCACTTTGGGCCCTCGGGCGTCTACTTCAAAAAGCGAACAGATCTCAGTTGGTATAATGAACTCTCCTCAAATAAAGATCTGGCAAGTTTCGCTCAAACTCTGACCTTTAAAGATCATCTTGGGATAAGAAGACACATCTTGTAAATAAAATGCTCACTCCATTCAACATGGGGATCTATTAATGTGTGGAAAGCTGTGGCAGCCATCTTGAATCAGGCTGACTCCAAAGGTCAATCAATTAATCAGTTACTGTGACGTTTATGAGAACTTGTCATTATTCATGAGATATTTTGCTAACACACACACATGAGCAAAAACATGAATGCTTTTAGTGTTGGGCAATAACGAAGCATTGATAAAACTTAAACTTGGTTTGACACATTAAAATGTTTACGTTGGAGATAATTCCAACAGAATCTCCAATAAATGTAATTTATTTATTTTTGACCTGGTTCAAATAACAGATATGTCGCTCTTCTTTATGAAAGGTAAATGATTCTGCCCTCTGCGCTCGGCCTCGCTTCACCGGTGAAGAAAAGACTAAACTTATCATCTTGTCCGTCAAAATCCTCAACATTATCTGTGTGGTTTCCTCTGCTTGGCGCAAAAACACTTGCACAGCTTCAACATTTAAACCATTAAGATGCTCCTTTTTCTTCCTGTAGGTTTGATGGGACAAACAAATCAAAGCCTCAGATTCATACGGGAGGTTTTTTTTTATTTTTCTTTTTAGCTGTAATGTTGGTGAAACAGCTGACAGATGTTTGCAGCTGACAAATCTCTGCCACATGCAAAAGGTCAGAACTTGGAAGTGAGAGGAACTCTCCTGGAACCCTTCAGATGCACATAATGACAAAATGGAAAGCAGGAACAACCCGTGCAAGCAGGTGTCCGCACTTACAGCGGCCCCTTTAACCTTTAACATCGGCCACTAACACTTTGATCACAGGAAGAGCTCCTCTTATCGAACGTTGTTGGCCACGATGTTTTTCTTCCAATTAAACAAAGTCAGCAAAAATGTATTTGTGGTTGCACATGTCAAGCAGGTTTAAACCCGAGGGGAGCAGCTCTGTGTGAGGTACACATAAAACACAGAGTTCACATAATAATTCACCATTACTGTGAGAATGTTTATGAAGCATTCACACTATTGTGATCCACTTGTCTTCCAGATGTTTTTCGGCATATTTCTAGTTTCACAAATTCTGTTATTTCAACAATCATATATCAAAATGTTCACCTCGTACAGGAGAAGGGTTGGTATCGGTGGAACTTCAGCTTTTTGAAATATTTAGCCTTTTCTGCCCCTTTTTTTCATAGAAAATGAACTGAGCACATTTTACATCCTTCAGATCTTCAGATCTGTTTACAACATTTTATTGCTCCTTTCATATTTTGTCCCAGTTCAGCTTCTTTATGCAAATTACATTTTTTTGTTGTTGCTTCTTTTAACTTCTTTCTGCTAATTTCAACATGTTATGCTCCTTTCAGCTTATTTATGCAAAGTTTCAGCTTTTTCTACTATTTCGGCTAGTATTTTTATGCTAATTTTAGCTTTTTCAGCTAATTCCTTATTTTTTGCGCTCATTTAAACATTTTCAGCCTAATTCAGCAAAAATGTGTTATCTCCACTTCCTTATGGCGATTTAAGCTTCTTTCTACCTTTTTAGTTACTGTTCAGCTGTTTTTTTAATTTTGTTTTGAAAATTTCAGCTTTTTTCAGATAATGTCCATTTTTTGTGCTAATTTCTGTTTCTTTCAGTCTAAATGAGCAAACACATTCTTTCTGCTTTCTTCAGCTAATTTTAGCTTGTTCTATCCTTTCAGCTTCTTTTTTTAATAGCATTTTTAAGTTAATTTCAGCGGTTTTGAGATAAATTCAAGTTTTTCATGTAAATGTCTGCTTTTCAGCTTTTTCTGCTCTTTCAGCTACTATTTAGCTCTTTTGATGCTAAGTTTAGCCTTTTCAGCTAATTTCACCTTTTGTGAGCACATTCCAGTTCTTTCCACTTCTTCTTTTTGTATTTTCAGCTACTTTTCAGCTGTTTTTTTTCTCATTTCATATTGTTTTTAAAGCTAATTTACGCATTTTTGTGCTGATTTCTACTTATCTAACCTAATTCAGCAAATACCGGATGTGTTCTTTGTGATTTCTTCTGCCAACCTAGGCTTGTTCCTTCATTTCAGATACATTTTAGCATTTTTTAAATTTTAGCTAATTTCAACATTTTTCAGCAAGTTCTTCTACAATAAGCATTCACACTGCATTTTTGCAGGAAATGCAATTTCTCTAGTTAATTGTATAAAATTATTATCCTGTAAAAGTTGAACAGTTTTCAATACAGAACCAATGTTGCCAGGAGGTGGCACTGTTCAACTTCATTAAAAGATTTATAATAATAATAATAATAATAATCATTTTATTTAAAAAGCGCCTTTCATGACACCCAAGGACACTTTACAGTAAGAACAAAGATCAACAGGAATAAAGAATATAAATTACATAAAGAATATAAAATGCATACAGAATATAAAATACATACAGAATATAAAATACATACAGAATATAAAATACATACAGCAAAGTTAAGGATAAGCGAGTCTAAAGAGATGTGTTTTCAGAACAGTCTTGAATATAGAAAGAGAGGTGGTGTTTCTTAA